TATTTAACTAGATTTAAAGTATCTAATTAGTAGATATAATAGGTAAAATACCCTAGTTTACCTTGGTTAAATCAGTGAGTGTTTTGTAGTACACTAGGAGGGATTTCTATTGTTGTTGGAACTATTTGTGGTTACTTGGATTCAAAATTAATTTTAAAAAGCTAGATTAGGGCAGCCCCAGTGGCACAGTGGTTTAGCACTGCCTGCAGCCCAGGGCGTGATCCTGGAGACCCGGGATCGAGTCCCACTCTCAGGCTCTCTGCATGGAGCCTGCTTCTTCCTCTGCCTGTGTCTCTGCCTCTCTCTCTCTGTGTCTCTATGAATAAATAAATAAATAAATAAATAAATAATCTTTTAAAAAAAGCTAGATTAAAAATTGTTAAAGACAATATTTTTAGAGCTGTTTCAGGTTCACAGCAAAATCAAGAGAAAGTTACACATATTTCCTATATCTCCCCTATGCATGCAAGCATCTCCCATTATCAATGCCTGCCCAGAGTGATACATTTGTTAAAATTGATGAACATACACTGACATATCATTATTACCCAAGATGTGATTACATTAGGGTTCACTCTTATTTCCGTACATTCTGTGTGTTTGGATAAATGTATATGACCTGTACGCAGCATTACAGTATCATACAGAGTAAAAATCCTCTTGTACTCTGCCTATTAATCCTTCCTTCTACTCCTGCAATTACTGATCTTTATAGTGTCTCAATAATTTTGCCTTGTCCAGAATGTCATAGTGGAATCATACAGTATGTAGTCTTTTCAGATTGGCTTCTGTTTTATAGTAATTTGAGTTTAGAGTTTCTCTGTCTTTCATGGTTTGGTACTCATTTATTTTTTGTACTGAAATATTCCATAGTCTTCATGTACCACAGTTTATTTATCCATTCATCTACTAAAAGGCATCTTGGTTGCTTCCAAGTTTTGACAATTAAAAATAGAGCTGCTATAACCATCTGCATGCAGGCTTTTGTGTAGATACACATTTTTCAGTTCCTTTGAGTAAATATCAGGGGACCAAACTGCTAGATTAAATGGTAAGAATATATTTTGTTTCGCAAGGAATTTTCAAACTGCTTCCCAAAGTACCATTTTGCAATCCTAATAGCCACTAGGAAAGTTTCTAATGTGGTCAGCATTTGGTGTTTTCAGTGTTCTGGATTTTGGCCATTCAAATAGGTTTGTAGTGGCATCTCATTGTTTAAATTTGCATTGTTCTGATGACATATGATGTGGAGCTTTACATATGCTTGCTAACCATTTGTATATTATCTTTAGTGAAGTGTCTGTTAAGGTCTTTAGCTCATCTCTTAATCAAGGTTTTTGTTTTTCATTGTTGAGTTTTAAGAGTTCTTTGTATATTTTGGATAATAGTGCTTTCTCAGATGTGACTTGCAAATATGTTCTACTCTGTTGCTTGCCTTCTGTTCTCTTGACAGTGTCTTTAGTAGAGCCATTTTTACTTTTAATGAATTCTAATTTACCAATTATTTCTAAGATCTTTGCAACATTTTTAATAAATATAATTATAAACTTAGAATGTGGCAATTCAGATGCTTTTACATATTTCTAGAATACTGAAAAAACACATTTTCATTATAAACTTTGACTATAAATAACAGGAATTACAGAAATTGTACATTCAAGTGAGCTTGGCAAGGCAAATCCTACAAATTTTCTAATATACTAGATTCTAATTTAAATTTAGAAACCCAGTTATTAAAATAAATACAAAATGCATTTGTGGAAGTAACAGAAATTTCTCAACATGCTATGGATTTGACTTATTTTATTGTCACTCCACTAATTCTGAGAGAAGATTTGACAACAGAACTTTGGACACTCAGGATGTTTTATTTAAGCCACAATGGAATTCTCTGGCCCTTTTATGTTTTTGAGGTCTTTTTCTCGATCAACAGACATCCACCATTCCAGGCGCTGGAGACAAGGTATAGATTGACATCCATTTCATGTTTCTTTTCCTTTGATCTCTCATCTTAATTGTACAACATATTTGGCTCATATAATGACCCAGATTATCATTATTGTAGGATCTAAGTTCTTGGTGATGTCTTTATTGTGTTAGCCCAGCATTGTATTTACCAGAACTGTCAGGGGAAATGGTAATAAAACTTCCTTCTGTAAGTCTCCTGAGTTTGAGGCATGGTTCTCCTAAACCACCTTGTGTACCAGTAACCCAACTGCAGTGATTCTGTTCTCTGCCTCTTGTTCCAATGATTGAGAAGCCAAAAATGCACAAAAGGAAGTCTTAGCTTACAGTTCATCAGGAACTTGATCATGTTGCTTATTAGAACAGTCTTCCTTTAGGTATCAGAAGCTCTTAAACCCAACAAAAACAAGATCTTGGGTAAAATAGGTGATGGGGATTAAGGAATGTACTTGTGATGAGCACTGGATATTATATGGAAGTGTTGAATCACTGTATTGTACTCCTAAAACTATTACACTGTATGTTCACTAGCAGGAATCAAAATAAAAACTTGAAAAAAATGTAAGCCCCTCTCCCCTAATCTTGGGGAAAGGCAACAATTTCTTCATGTGGATTATTAAGTGTAACAATGGGAGGGGACACTGAATTTGAGTCCTAGCTCCATGCTTTGATTCACAGACCTGTACATTCTGTCTATGGCTCCAGCAGTTGTCACTAGTGTGCCTTCACAAGATCATTTCATCATTCTGCCCAGCAAGTTACTTTTGGATAAGTAAATTATTTAGGCATGAACTGATTACTAAACTTTCTTTTCTGCAAAATGTCAAACACAGGGTTGTGTGGAAAATCATGATAACAAAGAAGACATTCCATAATTTTGTGAATGGTGATGCTAGCAGAAGCACTGCAAGTAAAGAAGTCAAATTTGCTCCTAAAATACGTGATTATTCTTATGAACACAAAACACTATCAGGACATGATGGAAGAAGCTTAAGCAATAGATCTGCCATCAAGTGGTTGGCTGGTTTCCCTCAGAAACTGTGCTCTGCTTTGGTCTCTGCCTTTGACAGGTTGGGCATTCCACGGAGGTTTTAGGAAAATCATCCACGATGGGGGAGGGCCTTATTTGAGTACATATAGCTTCCATCCTTGTTGTCCTGGATCATTTTACAGGTGCCCATTTGATAAGTAATAAGTTCCAGGGTGTCTGATGAAAGAAACGGACTGACATTCACAGGATAGGTCACTTTGTATTGATAAATACACCAAAGGTCAAAGACTCTTGGTGAAAAATGTATAGCAGTAGCATAACAGGAATTTTTAGCCAAAAAAGTGCTAGTGTAACTGAAAATATCAAATATAGTTAACATTAAGTCACTACTAAATTCAAAAGGCTGATTTTGCCCTTCCAGCTCTGCTGTCCACTTTTACATCTCATTCTTTGCCTTGGAAGATTGACCTGTGGAGACAACCTTGCCCTAATGGATGGCTTCCACTTACTGATTTGGGGCAGAAAAGCAGAGGAATGAGACAGGAGTCAGAGCTAATGGTCCCGGGCCCCTATATGAGAGCAGGACTGGCCATGCTCCAGTCAGAGGTACATACTCTACTCAGCTCTTTCCTCAATCTTCTGCCTCACTAGGGAAGTCTCCCAGTAGAAAGCTTTGGTTTCTGTTCTCAATTTGCTACCATTACCAAAGATGTGGGATTTATGTGTCAAAATTTTCAACTTTATCTCAACTTTTGAAATTGATATTTCCAAAATTGTATTACTCTTTTTAGAGTGGGCATAAGGGAACTTTTTAGAGTGATAAGAAAGTTCCCAAACTGGATTTGGGTGATGTTTGTACACATCTGTATATTTGCTAAAAATCATCCACATCTGTATATTTGCTAAAAATCTTCCAATCATTTACTTTTATTTTTTTTAATTTTTATTTATTTATGATAGTCACACACACACACACACACACACACACACACACAGAGAGAGAGAGAGAGAGAGGCAGAGACACAGGCAGAGGGAGAAACAGGCTCCATGCACCGGGAGCCCAACGTGGGACTCGATCCCGGGTCTCCAGGATCGCACCCTGGGCCAAAGGCAGGCGCTAAACCGCTGCGCCACCCAGGGATCCCCCAATCATTTACTTTTAATGAGTAAATTTTATGGTGTGTAAAGTAGACCTCACCAAAGCTGAGAAAAAAAAAAATCTGAAATTTCTGTCCTCTTTTGTAAATATTGGGCATTTTCTTCAAATGCCAGTAAAGGTCATTGAAAAAAAGAATTTCTTTCCTTTTTTTTAAAGATTTTATTTATTCATTTGAGAAAGAGAAAGAGCACATGAGTGGTGGGGGAGGGGCAGAGGAAGAGGGAGAAACAGGCTCCCCACTAGGCAGGGAGCCTGATGTCAGGCTCCATCCCAAGACCCTGAGATCATGACCTGAGCTGAAGGCCAACCCTTAACCAACTGAGTCACCCAGGCATCCCTATGGTTTCTTTCCTAAATTCTCATCCCCCAAACCAATTTTTTTTTTGTATTTAAAGTGTCTTTAGTCAAATTGTATTATTAAATTATTGGCATGATTTGTAATCAATGTTGTTTTAGGATCAAGAAATTTAACTGTTAGGCAATTGTAAGCTATTATATTAAATCAAATATCACTGTATTAGGAAGTGTAATTGAAAACTCACATAGTTTGGCTAAACCAAAAGGGATGTATGTATCATGTAACTCAACTCTAAAACGGGCACAATTTCCATTACCCTGACTTTATGGGGTAATCAGTATTTTTTTTTAAAGAACCACATCTGATATTAAATTCAATATGTGGTGGACAGTTGAGAAAATTATGTGTTATCTAGGTCATGAGAAACAAACTTTAAAAAAGAGAAAGAAAACATTTCCTCTGAGGTTTTCACAGTAGATGAAACTACACACTTGTTTGTACCCTGAGTGAACAATTTGGGGACTAGATCTGATCAGCATCAGATTTATTATTTTTCTTATAACATATTATACTTAAAAAAAGGAACATACACATATACACATATATATTCATTGAAGATGCAAGACGAAGAAAGATATATGACATTGAATTTACAATTGAAGAAAAGGAGTTCTAGCCAAATATTCCAACTTAAACATAAAGGTATGGAATTCAGGGTTTTTTTCAATTAATGTGAATTAATATGAGTATGGATTTAATATGGGTTAATATTAATATGAATGTGGACAGTGATTACCAACATTCTCCTCTTTACTGTTCTTGGACTATTTTATTTTTTGGTGCTTTTCTCTTTCTCTGCCTCTGTCCTGTCTTTCTGTCTCTCTGGCTCTCTGTCTGTCTCTCGTTTATCAAGGCGAAGGCTAACAATTATTTGCTTTGAAGTAACATTTTGTATCACATAATTTCCTAAGGACATTCTCAGGAAAAATACACAGTTATAATTAACAAAATTGAAATGAATACTTGGTGCCAGTTGTCCACCTCTGTATCATTCATAAAAATAGCATCTTTAGTACTAGTTTTTAATTCACCGTGTCAAAAACTTTAAAATATGTTTTTTACCAGGTGGAAAATTTTGTTTTGGGAAGTAGAGCTATTAACCTGAAAGACCACAAAATGTAATGGCTTTTCTGTGTAAACTTTTTTTCACACTCAGATTGTAGATGGCACTCTGAAGCCAAAATGTGTTTTGGTTCAGGAAAGGAGCTCAGGAAGCTACAAATCATAAATGTGCAACTCCTAGCTATTTAAGTGGCATATACTAATATTCATCCTTTACCAATAGTTTCCTTCACTAATAGTAATGTTTTTGCTAATATTTGGTAAAGCTTCAGGTATGACATACATTTGAATCTAATTGACAATTTAAACCCTGTCATTATATACAGAGCTTTTACTCAAATGGAGCAGTGTAGGCATATGAAAAATAAAACAGTAGTCACTCTTAAAGAGTTTACCATATAAAGAGAAGCTGCAGCATCACTATTACATGGGTTAGAAAAAATTTTAGGATTTTTTTTAGGTTAAAATAGCAGGTGTCATATTTAGTTCTGATTTGTATTACAGGAGTAATATTTAGTTCTGATTTGTATTACACCCTTAGTAAATGAAATGGGTTGAATGACTTGTGAATATTACATTAAAGCGAATTATTAATTAGAAAATATATATTTGTGTGAATATATATGTGTGTATCTGTAAGTGCACATGGACACATGAGCCTGTGTGTGTGTGTGTATGCATGCTTGGGGAGTTATTAGATGTATACATTAAAATTCTTTATCTGACTAGTCAATTATGTCAAATGTTAGCAATTTCTTAAGATTCAATATAACATGCATCATAGCTCTAATCACGCAGTTACCATTACTAAATAAAATAGATAAGCATTTTTCTATTGATTTAGATTTTAAGCTTTTGATTGCCTAATAGCCTTTGAAATTCAAAACTAATAATATATGCAATCCTATTATCACAGTAGCTTTCACTTCTTGAAAATGTACTTTTCTAAGAGAAGTCATGTGATTAATCTCGCAGATTGTTCTGTGATGTTGCACTGGTATAAAGTCTTATTGGGAATATCTGGAACAGTAAATGGCATTCTGCTCTTGACTTTGATCTCCCTGTCCTTACTGGGTAAGTTAAAAGATCTTAAAAAAAATTTAGAAAATATTTACTATTTTCTTATGTCTTTTCATATTTATTTATTATTTGTTTTGTTAACAAAGGCTTAATAGGAAGCTACTAATATAAAGCTGTATATTATATTCTGTATTAATGTATTTAATATGTAGTCAAATCAGGTAAGTATCTTGTTCTCAAATGGCATGCAGTCTAACAGGAAGAAAATGTGTGTGCCTATGTGTATGTCTGTGCGATGTGTATTGGGAAACCCTATTTTTGGATTTCTTAGAAACCTGTGAATAGATAGAATTCCATCATTTTTTAAAAATTTTTATGCTTTAAGTTTATATTTAGTTTATACTATATATATATACTACTATACCCCAACATTACTATAAATTTCCCAACCAAGAAAAAACCTCTTAAAATAAAAAAAAACAATAAAAAAAGAATAATCATGGTGAGAAATCTCTAATGAAAAAAAATAGATATTAAATAAATAATTATGGTAGAACAGGCTAAGCACAGTGTCATAGGTTTCAGCAAAACACATTAAGAAAGCATGGAAAGAGCATGTATACTTTCCTTAGAGGGGGGATTTTGCTTTATTTACTACTGTGTCACCAGTTCTTAGCCCAATGCCTGGCATAGAACAGATCCTCAACAAATACATATTCTATAAATGAATTAATTGTGTAATATTTGAAATTATTTTTCATTAAATAAACATGAAAATAAGAAAGAAACTTTCTAGTTGTCCCTTCAGTTGTTTCTTGTTCCAATCATCAGAATCTTTGTGAAGAATTTGTGTCTAGAGCCCTGCACAGAGAGAAGATATTTACTCAATGCTAAAATAATTCTGTTTTTTAAGTTTCTCAGGGAGTATTGCTAAAATGCCAAGAAGGAAAGAATTCAAATATCACCCAACATGATGATATTGGAAACCTGGAAACAAATAGTGGCACAAGGGGAAATATAAATAATAAGGACACAAGCCTTTGTGGTTCAAAAGCTACAGACCATACAGGTATCTCTAGACTTTGGCCCTATACTAGTTTTAATAGTTTTGGCTTTCTAAGTTTGAGAAATCTTGCTTAACAGGTATGCAATAGATTACATCAGCAAATAAAGATTTGATGTAAATCTACTTTTCATTCAACATTTCATATATATATAATTTATTATTATTATTATTATTTGCAGTGGGAAGAGAGGTATGAAAAAGAACATAACAAATAGGCTCTTCCTTTCAGGAATTTAACATCAAATTGAAACACATAAATATGGGAAGTTAGTTGTGATTATAAGGCAATGTATAACAACTATTTTTTGTCCCTTATTTATCGTTTTGAAATACCAAATGAATAAAGATAATTATACATAACAACCTATCCATGGTGATTTTAAGCTCAGAACTTCCAATTATACAAAATTTCGGAAACTATCCCTTCTACTTCTAATTTTGTTTTACTTTAACTTTAAAGCACCTAACTTGTTGAGCTTTCAACATTTGTTTTATAGTATATGTGAGAAATGTGCAGAGTATTATATAATTATTTATTAAAGAATTTTCTCCTGGGTGGCTCAGTTAGTTAGGTCTAGGACTCTGGATTTCAGCTTAGGTCATGATCTTGGGGTCCTGGGATCAAGCCCCGAGTAGGGCTCCACATTCAGGAGGGATTCTGCTGGAGATTCTCTCTCCCTCTCTCTTTGTTCCTCCCTACCCCCCCGCTATAAAAAATAATAAACAAACAAACAAATAAATAAATAAATAAATAAATTCTTTGAAAAAAGGATTTTCTCCCATCCACTAATTTGTGTTGTCCTTTTTATCACGTATGAAAATATCATATGTATTATGGTTTACTTACTGATACTCTTTTCTTTTGGATTATGTATGTGCTTTACATGTGCAGGTCCCAAGCTAATTGAAATACTGTAATTTTAATGCATATTTTAGACTCTGGCAAGTTCATCAGTATGTTGGATATTACAATAGAACTTTTTCAGAGGCAAGAAAGCTTTGATATGTAAACATGGAATCATATAGACACCATTAAACGTTTATGAAAGTGAATCTAAATACTGTATGCCAAATTGTAAGATATTGATTTCCTGTTGCTTTTTTCCTTCTTTTTAAATTGAGGATATATTGAGCATGAAGTTAACACTTAAAATAAAACAATTCAATGGCATCATGACATTTGAATATGCAACCACTATATCTATCTAGTTCCAAAACATTTTCATTATCCAAAAAGAAATCTTATTCTCAATAAGCAATTCCTCATTCCCTCTCCTCCAGTTTTTAGCAGCAACTAATCTTTCCGTCTGCATGGATTTACCTATTTTGGATTTTCATATGACAGACGCATACAATATTTCACTTTTTAAGATTTTTAAGATTTTATTTATTTATTCATGAGAGACACAGAGAGAGAGGCAGTGACACGGGGAGAGGGAGAAGCAGGCTCCATGCGGGGAACCTGATGCGGGACTTCATCCCGGGACTCCAGGATCACACCTTGGGCCAAAGGCTAGGCGCTAAACTGCTGAGCCACCCAGGGATTCCCAATATTTCACTTTCTGTGTCTTGTTTCTTTCACTTAGCATAATATTTTCAAGGTTCATCCATGTTGTATTATACATCAGCATTTTATTCCCTTTTTATGACTGAATAGCATTCCTGTTTGTATGCAACCATGATTTGTTTAAGGTGGCAATACTAATCAAAGTGATCTGCAGATTCAAAGCAATTCCTATCAAAATTTCAATGGCCTTTTTTTTGCAGAAATGGACAAGGCAATCCTAAAATTCATGTGAAATTGAAAGAAATCCTGAATAGCAAAAACAATTTTGACAAAGAAGAAAAAATTTGGAAGACTCACATTTTTGTCAAAACTTAATGGGATGGAGAGAATGAATAATTTTGGAGTGATGAAAATATTTTGGAATTAGATAGTAGTTGTGTTTGCACACTGTGGATGTACTAAAAATTCATGGCATTTGCACTTTAAAGTAGTTAAAATGGTGAATTTATGTTACATGAATTTTACTTCAATAAAAAAGATATTTTAATGGCTGTACATGAATAATTATACTGACCTGAATTCATATTTATACATACAATTAATTTTCACTCACTATTATGCCAAAGTCTCAGATATTTTCAATTGAAGAGCCCAGTTTAATTTAAGAAAATCAAATAACTTGAACTTGAAATTATATAGACACTGAAAAACTATTATTCTCAATATTATTTAACATCAAAAGGGAGTTATAAAGGAAAGATTTATGCACATAAAATAGAGAGAAATTCAAAACCTTTATAGGTTAAATTCTAAGAGAATGGTATAAATAATATTTAATCTCACAGGTAACCTTAATGTAATATACAGCTTAAATGGTTCATGTTATTTTAGTAATTATATTAAATCTGGGCATGGAAAACAAATCTCCTTTTGTCTAAATTTTGCTTCATCTTACTAAATTAATTTCTTAGTTCTCATGAGCTATCATTTGTAATTTGGGCATCTTGTAAATCACAGCAAAAACACTTTGTTGTGAGTGATTTTTATTGTACTGCTCTACCTTTATTTATACAACACAGAAGTATTCAATTTTCAGAAATACATATGTAACTTAATTTTCTTTGTTTCCTCCCTCCATTTCCCAGGGTTCTGCCCATCGGAATGGCTCAAATATCAAGAAAAGTGTTATTGGTTCTCTAATGAGATGAAAAGTTGGAGTGACAGTTATGGCTATTGTTTGGAAAGAAAATCTCATTTACCAATCATTCAGGACCAACTTGAAATGGTATGTGGTTTAGTGTCAGGGTTATGACATTAGTCTTTGTGCAGTTGAAAATAGTTTTCCTGAAGACGATTATCATATGACTTCACTCATATGTGGAATTTAAGAAACAAAACAGAGGATCATAGATGGGAGGGAAAAATAAAATAAGATGAAATCAGAGAGGGAGACAAACTATGAGACTCTTAACTATTGGAAACAAACTGAGGGTTGCTGGAGGGTCGGTGGGTGGAGGGATGGGGTAACTGGGTGATGAGAATTAAGGAGGGCACTTGATGTAATGAGCACTGGGGATTATATACGATTGATGAATGAAAAAACTATACCTTTGAAACTAATAATACACTATATGTTAATTAATTGAATTTAAAAAAAAACATTATGCTAAATGAATTTTTTAAAAAATGGCTTTCCTCAAGGGGCACCTAGGTGGCTCAGTCAGTTAATCATCCGATTCTTGATTTCAGCTCAGGTTATGATCTCCTGACATCAAGCCCTCATCAAGTTTGCACTTAGCACAGAGTCTACCTGGGGTACCCTCTTTCCTTCTCCTTCTGCCCCTCCTCTCTCTCTCTCTCGCTCTCAAATAAATAAATAAATAAATAAATAAATTCTTTAAAAAAATGGCTTTCCTCAAATTTCTTCCCACATTTCAATTAAATTATCATTTATCTTGATTACTGAGTTTTTGGCACCTTCCTGCATTTTATGTTCAATGTCAGTGCCTTGCTTGTCTCATGCTAGTTAGTCCTTGGCTGAATACTTGTATTCATTTTATAAGTGGTATATATGTATGTGTATGTATATAATAAATATATAGTGTACATAAATAAGTTATGAATTGATTAGTTAAAAATGTTCATGTAGGATGCTAGTTGTCAAAAAATTCTAAATCTTACTTAGTATGTCTGAATGATTAAAATATTATCTTCACTTAGTTGCTTATTACTCACTTTTTAGGCTTTTATACAGAAAAACCTAAAACAATCAAACTATGTGTGGATTGGACTTAACTTTACATCCCTGGAGAGGACATGGACCTGGGTGGATGGTTCTTCATTAGATTCAAATATGTGAGTCTTTCCAAAAGCAGTCTGATTTATTGTCTATTGTAGAACTTATCTTCATAAAGCACCTCCCTCTAAGTTCACCAAAATCAACTCTGAAATAGTTCTTGAAACTAAAGAATGTGAAAGGATGAAAATTAATTTTAATGTTTACTGGAGTAATGATGAATATTTTGGTCTTGTTTTCAAAGCAAAAAAGACTTGAAAACAATAATAATTGTGCATTTGTTGTTTAAAAACTATACCATATAGAACAATGGAAAGAAGACTAGAATGGGGTATGGACACAGATTTACTCTTAGCTCTTTCATTTCTAAATAGGATCTTTTGGAATTCTATGCCAATGACAGGCAGTAATACTAAGTAATACTAAGTTACAGAGATATTCTAATGTTTAATGAATCAAGGGATTTGAAAATGCCCTGAAATCTGAATGGCCTTTTAATGGAGGGTATTAGCTAAAAATACAAATGGATGTCTTCAGCAACAATGATTAATAATATATTTACCCTTTCTTCTACAGATTCATCATAAAGGGGCCAGCTAAAGAAGATAGCTGTGCTGCCACCAACGAAAACAAAATTTATTCTGAAACCTGCAGCAGTGTTTTCAAATGGATTTGTCAATCAATCAATAAACAATGATCAAAGTTTTTGCCTATTAGGTTCTAATATTAATCTTAATAAGAATTTAAAACTACCAAAAAAAATAGAACTGCAATTAAACAGCAAATATCTTCTCCATTTTCCCTCCATTATCTACATTGGTCCTAACCTTAGAGTACCCCATCCAAACAATCTAAAATACACCCTTCCAAAGTTTTATGAGGTAATATAATTCAGTGTGAGTCCATACATTTGCACTCAGGATTTTTATTCATTTTTATTTTACAACAAATGTGATCAAATATATCTACTTTTCTGTACTGTGCTTGTTTAATTTGTAACAATATTCTATGCAAATTTTGTATAATTCTGAATTGCATTATAGTGTGGATTTATACATCTTTTTACTGCTTTGTTGATGAGCATTAACTTTGTTCTCAGGTTTTCCTACTATAAACTATGCTGCAATAAACATTCTGAATATCTTTTTAAAAAGTAGCACCTTTTATTTCTTTGATATAAACCTTAAAACTAAAAAAAAATAAACCTTAAAACTGGAGATTATGACTAAAAAGCATTAAATATGTGGTTTGCTTTAGATTTTATACGATTTTAATCTAAATTTAGAAACTATCACAAACTTCTAAGATTACAGGTATAGAGGAAAAGCACTTTCCTTTCTCCTGAATCTTCTGAGAATTACTTGCCAGATTGATACATTTTATTATAAAATTTCAAGTATTAGTAGATACTTTTGTGTATATTTTCTACAAAAAAAATCCCCTACTGGGGATGCCTGGGTAGCTCAGTTGGCTCAGGGTGTGATCACAGTCCTGGGATCGAGTCCTGCATGGGGCTCCCTGGGAGGAGCCTACTTCTCCTTCTGTCTATGTCTCTGCCTTTCTCTGTGTATCTCATGAATAAGTAAATAAAATATTTTTTTAAAAAAATCACCTACTGAATAACAATTAAATAATCAAAATTAACACACTAGCATTGACACAGTGCTACCATTTAATTCTCAGACTCCTTTTAGGATTTGCCAGTTATATATATATAAATATATATATATTCTTTATATATATATATAAATATTTTATATATTTTATATATTATATATTATATATATATTTTATATATATTTTATATATATATAAATTCTCTACAGTAAAAGATCTAGCTTTTATTATATATATTATTATTAATATTATTATATAATATATTATTATATATTATTATCATATTATATAATATAATAATATAATATAATTATATTATATTATAATATGTAATATATAATATAACATAAAAAATATAATAATATTATATTATTATATTATATATTATTATATAATATATTAATATTAATATTATTAATATTATAAATTATTATTATATTATATATTATATATATAAATTCTCTAGAGTAAAATATCTAGCTCAGAATCATCTTCTACATTTCGTTTTTATGTCTTTTTAAGGTCCCTCCATCTAGAAGAGTTCTTTAGCCTTCCTTGTTACTCACAGCCTTGACACTTCTGAATGCTACAAGTGAGTTATTCTGCAAAATATTCTTCAGTTTGAATCTGTCTGATCGCCTACGGCCATACCACCCTGAATGCGCCCAATCTCGTCTGAATCTGTCTGATTATTTCTCATGATTATATTCAACTGCTCCTTGGCAGAAAGAGTGAGAAGTTCTTTTCACTGCCTCCTTTCAGACAGCACATACATTTATTTTTTTATTCCATTGTTGATGCTATTGACTTTGTTCACTACTTAATGTGACATCTATCAGACTTCACTGTAAAGATTTTTTGTTCATAAAATTAGTATTTTGTGAACAGGGACCAGGATGGCTTTAACATTCCCTTCTGCCTGTCCAAATTTTAGACAAGTTTTGTTCTTCCTATTGATGAGCCCCTGACCTCCTCATTTTTAGACATTTCCTTCAGGAAACTTGTAACTGGAAATTCTGTCTCTGCTCCTTTGAGATTCAAACTGCGGAGTCTTTACAACCCAGAAGTGTTTCTCCTAAGGACCAGAGAGTTATTCCTTTGAAATGCAATCATCAAGAAAGGTAGCACCTCTGTTTTTCAGTTTTTATGAAAAGGTAGGAGGCTAACTTCAGTAGGCACCTAGCTCCAAGTTGTAAAATTCTCCTAGCATGAGGACCTGAAAAGGTTTAATTTCCCTCTGGGTACAGTTGTTGAATAGACAGATGGTGTATGATCTCCCTCTCACTCCAGCTCTGCAAAAACCCTACGGCCCTGTTTCAGAAGATTTTGGTTCAGAGTGAGTTCTGGCTTATGTCCCTCATTGCCATAACCTTGAATAAAGCCTTTACCTGTGTAATAGTTTTTTGCTGTGATTTTTGCTTGACAGAAGGTATTTTTAGATTTTATAAATAGCCCATCTACATCAGAATTTCAACTTATTCATTTTTGCATTTGTATCTTTGTAGACTCTCATTTTCACATTTTGTTCGATTTGTATACTCTACTTTGATGGTCAAATTGTTCCAGACCTAGTAGTAAAAGTTGCCTTTGAGGTGACATTTGTATCCTTGATCTCCATGATCCTTTGCTAGTTTGTAGTGTTGTTTGCTTGTTTTATGGTAATACCTCAGCTGAATGCCAGTAACCATTTTTGCCAGTATTTGAACTGGCCTTTATGTTCTAGTGAGATTCATAAATACTAATAAAATAATTAACCAACAAATATAAAAAACATTTTTTCCTTGATCCAAATGATTTGCTTTTCTTTGTATCTTTTAAAATGTTATATTTTGGGATCCCTGGGTGGCGCAGCGGTTTGGCGCCTGCCTTTGGCCCAGGGCGCGATCCTGGACACCCAGGATCGAATCCCACGTCGGGCTCCCGGTGCATGGAGCCTGCTTCTCCCTCTGCCTGTGTCTCTGCCTCTCTCTCTCTCTGTGTGACTATCATAAATAAAATAAAAATTAAAAAAAAATTTAAAAAAAATAAAATGTTATATTTTGTTTTCTGTCTCCTCATCTTTAATTGAAGTTCCATGCACAAGGGTTTTTCCTTGTTTGGATTCTTATTGTATTCCTATTATTTAAAGCAATGTCTGATACATAATAGATGCTCAATAAATATCGACTGGACAAAATTTGACAAACGACTGTGGAGAGTTGTATGTTACTTATAATGCAATAAAGTAGAGGGGATCCGATGTTGTTCCTTAATTTAGCTAATGCATCTTTAAACATAAGGCACAGGAATTGAGATGTAAAGTAAGTGGAATTCATGAGAAAGAGGAACCTTCCAGGAAGTCCTAGATAAAATGCTAGGTAAGGGGGAAAACCTTTTGGATTTGTGAGCATGCGATGTTTTTAAAACATGTGAAGACAGTGTTACTGGAGGCCAAGGAAGGATAAACTGGGTATAAAATAGGCTGGAAAATAAGATGTCTTAAACGTCATGGAAGCATTTCCACTTTAAATTTCAACAGCAGTTGAAAGCCAATATAAAATGCTAGAGTTCCCAGAGTAACCTGGTAAATTTTGAGTTTTGGAGCCATTACCCTTGGCTACAGTATGGGAAGAGGAAAAGGAAAAGGAAGTATTTGAGTCGTGAGCTAATTTAGGAACGGGCAAGGCAACAGATGATAGACTAGTACTCAAGCTTCAGGAAGGAAGTGTATTGAAATAAACACGTGAATGGGGTTTATCATGAATAGTAACAATCAGACTTTCTTAAAATAAGGGTGTACTATTTTAATTAGTGCTTCGGTTTTGAGAATGTACTTCTTCCTTTTACTTCTTCAACTATCTCTTTATTCCAAGATTTTTCATCTCTTAGGTTCACACTTTTCCTTGCTCTCTAGATCCCTAAGCACAATACATTGACTGCAATATACACGCAGCATAGAGTTCTGCTGGCCAGTTACCTGCTGAGTTTTTCTGTTTATTCCTACTAAATGGACTAAAAATGATAGATGAGGAACAAAACCAATCTTAAGGCCAAACCAGGTTTCTGGGTTGTTTTTTATTTTTAAATATTTTATTTATTTATTTGACACAGAGAGAGAGAGTGCACAACCATGGAGGAGCAGCAGGCCGAGGGAAAGCAAGAAGCAGGCTCCCCGTTGAAGAGGGAGCCGAATGGGGGACTTAATCTTAGGACCCCAAGATCACCACCTGAGTTTAATGCAGCCGCTTAACTAACTGAGCCACCCAGGCACCCTCAGGTTTCTGTTTTTATGCACTCAGTTGGATGGTGTGCTGAGAAGGGCCATATTTTAAGGGAAAGATTATAAACTGTAGATATATTTAGAGGCAAACCGTAAGAAACTCCTAACTACAGAGAACAAACTGAGGGTTGATGGAAGGATGTGGGCAGGGGGATGAGCTCAATGGGGGATGGGATTAAGGAGAGCACTTGTCATGAGCACTAGGTGTTGTATGTAAGTGATGAATCACCAAATCCTACTCCTGAAACCCATATTACACTATAGGTTGACTAACTAGAGTTTAAGTAAAAATTTGGAAGAAAGAAAGGATATATTGAGATGTTGACATGGAATAGGTAGTTAGATAATCTGGAATTTAGAGAAGGTATTGATGTTGAATATGTCAGTATAGGATCTCTCAGAGTAGATGTTGATCCTAAATGTATGAAGGCAATTCCCTAAGAAGGAGTGAGAAGAGAGAAGAGAAAGGCCTAAAGCTGCAGGAAGACAGAATAATATGACAGGAACAGAGAGTGTGTACTGAAATTGAAAAGAGGAGGGATGCTTGGGTGGCTCAGGGGTTGAGCATCTGTCTTCGGCCTAGGTTGTGATCCTGGGGTCAAGTCCCACATCAAGCTCCCCAGAGGGAGCCTGTTTCTCCCTCTGGCTATGTCTCTGCCTCTCTCTAGGTGCCTCTCATGAATAAATAAATAAAATCTTAAAAAAAAAAAGAAATTGAAATGAGGAGAGGTCAGGAGCAAGGAGGAATCCCAGGGGAATAGGGGATCACAGAATACTTAGAAGATAGTATTTAAAGAAGAAGAAATAGAAACATAATTTTAAATTCTGCTTGAGACAACATGTGAAACATTAACTGAAGCTCGTTCACTGGGTAGGCATTGGCATTACTTGGTGAGAGCTGCTTGTGTGCATTTTGCGGAGTGGTAGATAAAACAAGATGTGACTAGACTGAGATGCTCGGAGGACACATTTTCCTTCATTTAAAGAAAGACTGAAACAAGGAAGGGACATTCCAGCTCAGGCTTGTATCAGAGAAAGATGGAACAGAAAAATGGAAGCAAGCTGATCTTGCTAATACAATGTATCAGATTGCTAGGGCCACCATAGCAAAGTACCAAAAACTGAGTGGCTTAAAACAACAGAATTTTATTTTCTCACAGTTCTGGAGACTAGAAATCCAAGATCAAAGTGTCTGTTGTGCCGTGCTCTCTCAGACTGCTCCAGGGGAGAATCCTCTCTTGCCCCTCTGGTCTCTCATGATAGATGGTAATCCTTGGCATTCCTTGGCTTCTAGATACATCACTTTAGTCACATGGCCACCTTTTCTCTGTGTCTTCACATAGTCTTTCTTTGTATTAGTCATTAAATTCAAATTTTCCTTATTTATAAGGACACCAGTCTTATAGATTAGTGAGATTTCAACCCATCCTAATGATTTCATTTTACCTATTACATTTTCTATGAGTCTATTTCTAAATGAGGTCACATTCTGAAGGCTGAGGGTTAGGACTTCAACCTGGGGACATAATGAAACTCATAAAAGAGAAGAGGAATTTATTAAATCTACACATGACTAAAACTTATAAATATTACTACTACCATACAGAGTAGCATTTATTGTTTTTCATATTAAATATGCATAAATAGCTATTAAATAAATGAACACAATTGTTATCTTCAACCGAAATGAACCTGTGTAATTACTGACTGATAAATATTCGGTCTTGTAAAGACTTGCTACTAGGTCTGACAGATCCTGGAAATCTGGTTTTTTTTTTTTTTTTTGGCAGAACTTCTGTTTAAAGAAACAATTTAATTAAAATGCATTACAAAATTCATGAGCTCATGAGAGGTGTTATGATTTATCTATAAATATTCAGGATAGTGGATAGAGGAGATCGATTATGCATTTCCTTATTGTCCAGTGAGTGTGTAAGCAGGTTTTTCATAATGTTCACACATTGCTTCTTCCTGCTCAGGTCCAAGGACCATCTCCTGCTTCTTTCCTGGTAAGAGTGTCTTTCCTGACTAGTTTCATTTCTCCTGAGTAAAAGGTAACAATGGAAAAAAAGTATCTTAAAAACAGCGGTGGGGGTGCAGCGGTTTAGCGCCACCTTTGGCCCAGGGTGTGATCCTGGAGACCCAGGATCGAGTCCCACGTCCCGCTCCCTGCATGGAGCCTGCCTTTCCCTCTGCCTGTGTCTCTGCCTCTCTCTCTCTCCTCTCTGTGTATTCTTATGAATAAATAAATAACATCTTTAAAAAAAGCATAACAAGAGTAGTCTTCTAGTTATAAAGGGAAAAATTTCCAGGTATAAAATAAATAAGAGATGAGGATACAATGAGGAATATACTTATTAATAAGTAACAACTATAGGGTGACAGAAGGTAGCCTGATTTATCATGGGATCACTTTGTCAATGTATATACATGTTACATAACTATGTTGTACATTTAAACTGTTATAATATTGCATTCTAACTAAGCTTCAATAAAAAAAACCCAAAAACCAAACAAAACAAAAAATATAAATTAAAAAGAAAAAGGTAGCAATGCTGTTATTACTCACACTATCATGGCTCTTAGAAATTTGTTTTTGTTGAAACAACATGGATCTCCTTGAGTCTGCACTTGCTTAGTATCATTTACTTCATTCTGATTACATTATATCATACTTTTCATAAATATTATTTTCCTGTGACTCAAAGGTTGAGGCTAGAATGCATTGATAATCACAAATGTAAATCTCATCTAAAATATGCACAAAATATGAACAATAATTAAAATTTTTAGACTTTAAATTTACCATTCACAATTTCATCAATGTGACACAACACATCTTCTCATCATATCTTCATTGAATTATTGAAACAATAATCCCAATAATCTCTCCAGAGAAAATTTCAGGGCAAGCACATTCATAAATTTAGGCACAGGAATATTAAAAAATAAATAACAGAGTAAATCAATTGAGAATAAATATGATATGACATCCTGACCAAGTTGAATTTTATCTGGGAATTCAAAGTGGTTATTTAACATTAGAAAACATGTGTCATTAACATTGAAAGATTAAGAAAGAACATCAAAACAGATAAAGAAAACAAAAACATATAAGAAAATTAAAAAAAAATTCAAAGTCCCTTTCTATTAAAAAAATCTTTTTAGGAAATAGGAATAGAAAAGAACTGCCTTAACCTAAAAAAGGTGCATAAAAAATTAAATAAAATGCTGATAATGTTGAAATGTTAGAAACATTTTCTTTAAAATGTGAGACAACTCCAAGATATTCACAGCCCAAATTATCTTGGCAGTTCTACAAATTTTAATTAGACAAGAATTAAGTAATAGTTATAAGAAAAAATAAAACGTATTATTAGATGCTATTTTTATCATTTTAAAAGAATCCACAAATTATTAGAAATTATGAGTTTTCAGAAAGTATGTTAAACAGGAGAAGAATAATGCAGTTACATTTCCACAAAAAAGTAACTATTTTAAAAAATAATAAAATTGCATAATTGTAAAAGCCAGATACATTTGATGAGGACACACATAATAAATAACATGCAATGATTGGCTAGAAAAACTATAAATCATATAAGAAGAAAAACACCAATGTCAGTTACATATTACAAATAAGTAAAGAAATAATATAAATATAACACTTTTTCTTAAAGTATTTTATTTATTTATTCATGAGAGACACAGAGAGAGACAGAGACACAGGCAGAGGGAGAAGCAGGCTCCTCACAGGGAAACCAATGAGAGATTTGATTCCTGGACTTGGGTTCATGCTCTGAGCTGAAGGCAGATGCTCAACCACTGAGCCACCCAGATGTCCCAATACAACACTTCTTAAATTGGTCTATAGAGCCTATGTAATTACGGGAGTCTTCTAAAATTGATGTAAAAAAGTAAAGATCCAGGTCATCTGAAAAATAAAGTAAGTTGAAGGAAATTATATGAATAATTATTAAGATGTATTACCAGGTTAGAACATTAAAGCAGTGAAAAATTAACTTATGTAGAGAGAAAGAAAAAATATTACAAAAATCATGGGTACCCATGTTGTAATTCCACTATTGACACATTAGTGCATTTTCTTCCTGCAGATCCATTTTCTTTCTGCATAGCACCTAGCTGTTGCTACACCATCATCATCGAGGTAAGCACATTTTTCATTTCCTCTCACAAGAAACCTACAAGGGATTAAACATCACGTACTAAAAAAAATGCTCTGATTTCTCACTTGCCCAGTGACCCAATTTTTTAAAGAATCTGTACAGAGTCCTGAAAAAGTGTGCTGTGGCACAGTCCTCTCTTGCAAAGAGGAATATATCTGTACCAAATTAGACCGAAAGAGTCTCTCATCCAAGAATTTTTATAACTGTTAAACTGATGTTAAGATAGTGATGTGTAATCAGTGGAACTACCAATTTATATAAACCAATAATTCTTAGCACAAGGCGATTTTGCTTTCTGCTCTCCACTTCGCTTCCCAACACACACATACACAAGTCACAATTGGCAACATCTGGAGACATTTTGGGTTGTCACAAAGCAGGTAGAGGGATTGCCTAATAGAAAAAAACAGAGATGTTGCTAACATCCAAAAATGCATGAAACAGCACCCCTTCTCCACAACAAAGAATTATTCAGTCCAAAATGTCAGTAGTGTTGCTGTTGAGGAATTCTAATATAAACTAAATAGTAAGTGGCTGGCAGTCACCATTGGGGTAGTTATGCTGAGATCATATGTGGAAGATATAATGGAAGTATAAAATGGAAGATATGAAGCTCAAATAAAATCAGGTTAAAATCAACAGTTAAGTTTAACTTGAACTGTTAAAGATGTCAGCAAAAATGCAGCATGAACTTTGAAGAATAGATATAAATTTGAGAAGACAGGTTAAAATCAGGCAAATGTTTTTTTGGATTTTTTTTTTTTTGGTCTGTGTTTATAAATCTCAGATCTTTATTTTCAAAATACTGAACTAAGATCTCCCTCTTATCTCCTGATTTCCAAAGTCCCTGGTTGATTTCTTGGAACTAATCTCAATACATAATACAGTTTTCCCTCCCTCACTTTTTCCAACATACACCCAAAGGTTCTGGAGAAGGTTATGTTATCCAAATTTTAATAATCTCCAAAAGAAAGAAACTCACCATTTGTTAAATATGGTTCCATTTACCCATTGTCCTGATTTATTTTCTGTCATTTCCAGTCCAATCCAGTGATCAGAAGTGCATTTGTATCGCACAAGAAAATTCTTTAGGGACAAAATAAATTTTGTTTTATTTTTTTAGCTTTTGCTACAACCTTTTGTGTCTCCCTTGCTTTGGAGGTTGTGAAAAGCAAGGCAACAAATGTTCAACTGCTGCTTCACCAGAAAATAGCTATAGGATTTTGAAAAAATATTTTATCCTCTGACCCTTAGCTTTCCTACTTGTAAGCAAATATGTGAGATAAATTTTCCTTAAGATACTTTTTGATTCCAAATTGATAAATCTTCAATATGGAAATCTATTCCTTCAGGATCTTAACACTGTAAACTCCTGGAAAGCCAGAGTTTGCAATTGACTTCTTGCACAGCCTTTCTAATCATCAGATATGTACTATAATGCTTTCTCACTTCCCAGTAAATACTAGTATATTGATTTTTAATATTATGTTTTACTTCAGATACTCTCCCAGTAAGATTGCTTGTGCACATGGAGGTGCATTGATGCGCCCACATGCACACAGACACCCTTCATCTGTCCAATTCCTTTAGAATTTAATTCTCAAATTTTGTTTTTCTTCCCAAAATTTCTATTTCTAAAGAGATCATTCAGGAGAAAAATATGATTTTATCCTCATAGTTCACACTTTTCATTCAACGTGGAAATTTCTTGTTGCCTTGGAGTCTTTTTAGCCATAGAATTAGACACAGAAAGTCACTGAGTCTATTATGCCACTAAATACCTGGTAAACCACAAGTTTGACATTGTACCACTCCATGTTTCAATTTTATGATAGATATAAGGGATACAGTTCACAACACTATGGTCCATTTTTATTAACAGTGACACTAATAACCTTTGGCATTTTAATATACTATTTTCTCCATCATTTTATAAATGTATTTGAAAAAAATATTTAACTTATTGAACTAAGTTTTGAGTTTATAAAAGAACACATTAATCAAACACTTTCCCTGGATTTACAGGGCTTCATTTATAGTGAAGAAATTTATGTAAACATAGAGTTAGAAAATATCCTTCTGGACGAGTAGAAGATTATGAATGAAATAAATACAAAGTGAAATTTTAGTTTACAAGAAAGAAATATCTGAATCTTTATAGGGCACTTGCTTATTGGATGTGCTCCAAGAGGTATATCTGGAAAGGAAGAGTAGAATATTCCATGATAAATACAGAGGACAAAGAAGAAGGAATAAGAGGTCAATTCAAATTTTAGGCTTTGGAAAGAGCTTGCTTGAAGACAGAAAAAAAAATGTGAGAAAGGATAAATGTATTGACCATCAGCACTCTATATGTTATTGGATAATTGGGAAAATTGGATTAGTTTAAGTAGTTGTGGTCTTAGTATCAGGGAACCAGGAGGTGAGCTTCCTAAAGCCTGTTCTTTGAAAAATATTAACTATTATTTGCTCACTAAAAAAACACTCATGTGGCTTCTTGTTAAATATATAAGATAACTTTATGTAAGGGGAAATATATATGAAAAATATTTCATGACAGAAGCTATATCTCATTTTAACTAAGTAAAACATTTTGTAATCTAAGTAAACATATATAACATTTAATTAAGAGGTTTTAAATAAACAGTCCTTTAAAATTCTTCTATATATTATTTTTATCACTCCTTTACAGATAGCTTTACATCATTTTGTCATTCACTTAAATTTGGCCCAAGTTATGTAGTAGTACATATAGGTAGATGATCTTCAAGCTATATTAGAAAATTGTAGGATCAAAGTCTCTTTTCTTGATCCCAAGGGTATAGTCATTATTAACTGATATATTTAATGATGTCTCAAATTCAAAACTGATTATTTTGGTGTGCTTATATCTTTGTGTTCCATGATATGCACTATTTTTGTTAGCCTTTGCTGACAAGATTCCTATAAATGAAGATTTTAAAACTATTTTGCCTTGTTATTTCTTTATCTCTCAAAAATGTTATTAGTACTCATCATTTTTCCATCTTGCTGCTAGTTTAGGCATTTTCTCCCAAGAGGAACTGTAAAGGACAATTCAAGAATTTGTTTATTTATTCATTTGTTTTTTATTAGATCCCACACATGAGTGAAATTATATTTTGACTTTAACTTTTAAAAAGACTAACCAAGAGTAAAAACATATGCTTAGCACATAAATGACTCAAGGAAGTATTTATTAGTATTTTTAGTCCAAGTCCAGAAGTATTTAGCTTCACAAACCTTTGTTAAATTTCTAGATTTCCTTTACTCATAGAATTTTTGCATGTAATCAACATTTATTTTAAAAATGTCCATTAAGCTTTTAATTTGTACCTGCCTTTATGGTATAGAAATGCGGCAATTTCAAATAAAACATAGTGTGTTCACAGGCCTTTTAGTGAAGTATGAAGCTCATACTTCAGTCTAAAAAGACTTTCAGTTACATATCTATTCTATTACTGGTAGTTAGTGCTCTGATGGAAGTTGATATGGGACCTTGGAGAAAGCAAAGGAAGACTGAGAAGTCAGAGGTACTTTCCTCAAAGGGTGTAGACTTAAGAATCCCATCCTTCCCGAAACAATTCTGTCTTTGTGGCGTACTGACTTTTAAAAGTCCCTGGACTGGCGTACTGACTTTTAAAAGTCCTTTAAAAAGGATTCCAAATATTTTCAAGTTCTTCTTTTTATACTCCTTAAAATACAAAGATAGCTATCCAGTGCACTACTTGATACAAGTCTTACACTATTCAAACCAAACATCATCAGGTTTTTCAGTTGTATCTCACATGGCATGTTCTAAAAATCTTCTGCATAGACAGGCATGTGTGAAAAATTTTAGAAATCATAATACCATTTGAATATTTCCAAAGCCCCTATTTAAGAAATGTAAGAATTGTGTTTTAATTACCATTTCTTCCATGGTATCAATCATAGTTAGGTCAGCCTGTTGAGTTACACAGTTGTGTCTACTTGAAGTCCAATCCCCTTCTTCTTTAGAAAAATAATAGCATTTGTTCTGGAAACCAATCCAATCATCTGGGCAGGAATACTGAGTACTCTTATGTTTTAAAACTAGAAATGAGATGAGACAAACACATATATTAAGGGCCAGATGAAATAATGTGCTACAGTATTTTGAGATCAATGGGGAAAGACGAGATTATGTTGTAAAAAATTATGATCATGACCAGAATTGCATATCATGTAACAAGTTTAAAGACAAATTTCATGTTAGATTAAATGACAACAGTTCAGGATTTGACAGGACACTGATATTCCTTTCAACTCCAACCCCGGTGATACAACATCCATTTCATGGGATTTTACTTGTGTTAAATCACCTTTACCACTTTTGGGTAAGTGAAATATAATGAAATCCTAGCATTATCTAGGGGTAATAAAAATACTAATCACTAATTTATGTTAGACTGTCATATGTTTTAATGTATAAGAAAGCAATGAAAATAATAAAATAGAATATGTAATTAACAATATGTGTGTTTGATTGCTTATTGTTCACTAGAAGGACCATCACTGTATGGCTCTGAGCTAACCACTGAAAATAACCCAGATGAGATTTTGAAGGTGGAGGTAAAACAGAACCTTTATCCTTGGGGAATTAGGTAAAATGAACTTCGCAGGCCTTTTAAGGAATTTGCCTTTAGTAGTCTCAGCATCTAGATGTATTCATCTTCCTCTAATCTCTAGGTTCTCCAAACTCACTAGTGCTTTCAGCCAAAATCACTAGTGACTATTTCTCCTCCAGCTACACAGCTTTCCAGACCGTTGCTCCTCAACTCCTTCCAGAGTCATGCTATTCCTAATTCCCATATTAAAGTCTTATTTTTGTAACTTTTTCAGTGTCTATTTTATTTTGGGTACCAAAAGTGAATCTAAGCGCACAAAACCGGCAGCCCGGTGGCTCAGCGGTTTGGCGCCACCTTCAGCCCACGGTGTGATCCTGGAGACACTGGATCAAATCCCACATTGGGCTCCCCGCATGGAGCCTGCTTCTCCCTCTGCCTGTCTCTCTCAATCTTTCTCTCTCTCTCTGTCTCTCATGAATAAAGAAATAAAATCTTTAAAAAATATAAAGGCACAAAACCTTAATGATGAGCTATGGTATTGGTTGTCCACGTGATTCACTTTGAAGGCATTGATTCAAACACCAACCATAAATGGGATGCTGGTGATCTATAGTATGCGAAGGTAAAACAGTTAAATTATCACCTATAGTCACATGATGCCAAGTACCTATAGAATGTAAAACTTTTACACCTTTTTCTTTTTTAAATTCCAGTTAGTTAACATACAGTGTTATGTTACGATATACAAATGTACAATATAGTGATTCAACACTTCCATACATCTCCCTGTGTTCATCACAAGTGTACACCTTAATCCTCATCCCTATTTCAACCATCCCCTACCTGCCTCCCTTCTGATAATTATCAGCTTGTTCTGTATAATTAAGAGGTTTTTTCTTTTTTAAAAAAAAGATTTTATTTATTTATTTGAGCAAGGGATTGATTATAAGAGCAAGTGAGAGAGCACAAGCAGGGGGAGCTGCAGAGGGAGAGGGAGAAGAAAGCTCCCCATCAAGCAGAGAGCCCACCAAGAGGCCCAAGCCCAGTACCCCAGGATCATGACCTGAGCCTAAGCTGAAGGCAGACACTTAACCAACTGAGCTACCCAGGAGCCCCAATAATTTGTTTCTTGGTTGTCCCTCTCTCTTATTTTTTCCCCCTTTGCTTCTTTGTTTTGTTTCTTAAATTCCACATATAAGTGAAATCATATGGTATCTTTCTTCTCTGACTAATTTATTTCACTTAGCGTTATACTCTCTAGCTCCATCCATGTCATTGCAAATGGCAAGACTTCATTCTTTTTCATGGCAGAATTATATTCCATTGTGTGCATATATCACATCTCCTTTATCCATTCAGCTATTGATGGACACATGGGCTGCTTCTTTACCTTGGCTACTGCAAATAATGCTTCTATAAACATGCGGGTAAGTGTATTCCTTTGAATTAATGTTCTTGTATTCTTTGGGTAAATACCCAGGATTGTGATTGCTGGAGCACAAGGTAGCTCTATTTTTAACTTTTTGAGGAAACTCTATATTGTTTTCCAAACCCAAAGTGCATGAATATTCCTTTTTCTCCACATCCTCACCAACACCTATTGTTTCTTGTGTTGTGGATTTTAGCCATTCTGAAAGGTGTGAGGGAATAACTCATTGTAGTTTTGATTTGTATTTCCTTAATAAGTGATAATGAGCATCTTTTCATATGTGTGTTGGCCATCTGTATGTCTTTTTTTGAAGAAATATCTGTTCATGTCTTCCGCTAATTTTTAATTGAATGATTTGCTTTATTAGGTATTGAGATTTATAAGTTCTTTATATATTTTGGATACTACCTATTGATTGGATACTACCTATTGGATACTATACTATCATGCTAAATAGTGCATGAATCAAAGGGAGTGGTGAATTAAAAACAAAGCAGAAAGAAAGACACATATTAAAAAATTAGAGCATAAATCAATTGGATAGAAAATTAATGTAAAATTTAAAAAGTCAACAAACTCATAATTTGGCTTCTTAAATAATCTGAAAGAGGATGGAACACAAGATAAACTGGTAAAAAAAAATTAAAAGAGAGGCATAAAGAAACATGTTAGTAAAACCAGGAATTAGAGAATTTTTAAAAAAATACAACTTAGCACAACTGACCAAGGAAAAGTAACAATTATGAAAACTCTCTAGTAAAAATTAAATATTTAAGTTTAAAAATTATACAAAAAATTCTACAGAAAGAAATCTCCCAGTCCAGATGGCTTCAGTTATGAACATGTCTGATCATTTGGGAAGATATAACAACAATATTGCACAACCTCTTTCAGAAGACGTAATAGGAAGAAATACTATTCAACTCAATTTTTAGAAGCCAGCATTATTTTAATTTGAACATCTAACAACAGTATTATAGGAAAGGGAAATTACAATTCAGTCTTTCATGAACACATGTACATATATAAACAAAAATATTAGCCAATTTTTAAAAAGATTTTTATTTATTCATGAGAGACACAGAGAGAGGCAGAGAGATAGGCAGAGGGAGAAGCAGGCTCCTTGCTGGGAGCCAGATGTGGGACTCAATCCCCAGACCCAGGATCATACCCTGAGCCGAAGGCAGATGCTCAAGCACTGAGCCATCCAGGCATCCCAAAATATTAGCCAGTTTAATTCAAGAGTGTTAAAAGGTTATTATCTTATGATCAGATTGAATTTATTCCTAAAATGTAGTAAGTTTAACACTTAAAAAATTCTATATAATGCAACACAGTAACAGAAAAAAAGAGATAAACTAAGTACCATAGAAGATGGAAATAAAATATTTGATAACATTTCATACTCTTTCAGAGTAAAACCTCTTTGATAGCTAAGAGTTAAAGGGAACTCCTTTAATTTGAATAAAAATATCTACAAGTAACCTTTTTTTAAAAAAATATTTTATTTATTTATTTATTTGAGACAGAGAATGTGTGTGTTCCTCAGCTGAGGGAGGGGTGGGGAGGAGGAAGAAAAAGAAGCAGACTCCATGCTGAGTGTGGAGCCCCATTAGTGGGGCTCCATCTCAAGACCTGAGATTACAGCCTGAGTTGAAACGAAGATTTGGCTGTTCAACTGACTGAGCCACCCAAGTGCCTCTACAAGTAACCATTCTTAATGGAGAAATATTTTAAAAACTTTCTCATGGAATTAAGAATGAGATAAGGATGCAACCCTAACTACTTCTCGTTAACCTTGTACTGGAATTTCAAGCCAATAAAACAAGGCAATATACTAAAAGGTATAAAGATTTCAACATATTAAATAAAAGCATTTCTATTTGCAAATAATCTGAATGCTTACATAAACTTCCAAATGAAGATTAAGATAAGTTGCTTAAATTAATAATTAAGCATAAAACACACATTAACAAATTTAGAAGGAAGGAAATCACATGATATCTGCCTTCAGATCACAATGGAATTAGACTAGAAGTCAATAACAGAAAGCTGAAAAATTCCCCAAAACATGTAGATGAAAGAACACTACTCTAAATGGCACATGGACCAAAGAAGAAATCTCAAGAGAAATTTCAAAATGTTTTGAACTAAAGAAAAATAAAAACACAACTTATCAAAACTTCTGGGAAGCAGCAAAGGCAATGCTTAAAGGAAAATACATAGCATTGAAAGCATACTTTAAAAAAGAAGTATCTAAAATCAATCATCTAACTTTTCATCTTAAAAAAATAATAAAAAGAGAACAGTAAACAGAAGAAGTAAACAGGGGAAGAAATAATAATTATAGTAAAAATCAATGAAATTGAAAGGAAATTAACAGAGAAAAATCAACAAAATCACAAGCTTGTTTTTTGCAAAGAACAATAGGACCTGCCAGCTTCTACCCAGGCTAACTATGAAAAATGAAAGAGGGGACATCACTACAGGTCTTATGGAAATTTGAAGGATAATAAAAGAATACTATGAATAACTCAATGACCCAAAATTTGATAACCTAGACAAAATGAACCAATTTCTCGAATAACACAATCTTCCAAAACTCAAATGAGAAAAAACAGGCAATCTGAATAGTCCTGTATCTATTAAAGAAATTGAATGACTAATTAGTAATGTCCTCAAACAGAAAGGACTAGGCCCAGATGATTTCACTGGTGAATGCTACCAAACAATTAAAGAAGAAATTATACAAATTCTGTACAATCTCTTTCAGAGGATAAAAGCAGATGAGATACTTCTCAACTCAATCTATGAGGCAAGCATTGCCCTAATATCAAAACCAAAGATATTACAAGAAAAGGAAACTACAGACCAATATCACTCATGAACGTAGATGCAAAAATCCTCACAGAATATTAGCAAATTGAATCCAACAATATTTATTTATTCATTTATTTACTTATTTATTTATTTAGAATCCAAAAATATTTTAAAATAATTTTATACAAAATGGGATTTATCTCAGATCTGCAAGGCTGGTTGAGCATTTGAAAAACAATTAGTGTAATCCATCATATCAACAGCTCAGAAGGAAAAATCACATGATTCATGATCAAATGAATAAAATCTATCACATATGAATAAAATATATGACAAAAATATAACACTTATGACACAAACTCCCAGTAATCTAGGAATAGAAGGGAACTTCCTCAACTCAATAAAGACTATTTATAAAAAAAAAAAGAAAGAAAAAAAAACTACGGTTAATGTAATACTTAATGGTGAGAAACTGGTGGCTTTCCCACTGGAATAAGCTTTCCCTTCTCACCATTACTTTTCAATAATCATACTAGAAGTTCTGTGTAATATGATAACGCAAGAAAAGGAAAATCATAGGCCTACACATTGAAAAGGAAAAAATAAACTTTCTTTGTTCAGAGATGACATGATCATTCTATAGAAAATCTGAAAGAACTAAAAACTGAAAACTAATAAGTAATCATGGAAAGGTTGGAGTATACAAGTTGACATGCAAAAGTCAATTGTTTTCCCACATACCAGCAATAAAGAAGTGTAACTTGAAATTAAAAACAAAGTATTATTTACATGAGAACCCTCCAAAATTAAATATTTAAGTATTTCTAATAAAATATGTACTATATTATCTATATGAGGAAAAGTACAAAACTTTGATGAACAAAATCAAAGAAGAACTAAACAGTTTTAAGAGAGACATTCTATGCTAATAATTAGGAAGATGCAATCTTGTCAACATGTTAGTTCTTTACCCACTTGACCTATAGTTTTGATGAAATCCCAATTAAAAGCTAGGCAGCTTATTTTATGAATACCAACAAACTAAATTTAAGGTTTTTATTGAAAAGCAAAACGTACAGAATATCCAACTCAATTTGGGAGAAGATAAAAATTGGAGAGGACTGATATTACCAACATCGAAACTTGCTATAAAGCTACAGTAATCCCTAAGACAGTGTAGTATCGATGAAAGAATAGACAAGTCAGTGGAACAGAGTAGAAAGACCAGAAATAGACTCACATAAATGTAGTCACCTGAACTTGGACTAAGGAGCAAAAGCAATATAATTGAGCTAAGATAGTCTTTTCAACTAAGGTGCAGGAACAACTGGACATTCACATGCAAAAAAATGAACCTAAACATAGACCTTACATCCTTCACAAAAATGAACTCAGAACATATCAAAGACCTAAATGTAAATACAAAACTGAAAAGCTTCTAGAAGATTTCATAGGGGCAAGCCTTAATGACCATGGACATGGTGATGGTTTTTTAGATAAACACCAAAGGCACAGTGTATGAAATCAATAATGGATAAGCTGGACTTGGACATCATTAAAATACCACTTTTTCTCTGTGAAAAACAATGTCAAGAGAATGAGAAGAAGAACCACAGGCTGGGAGAAAATATTTACAAAAGACCTGTCTGATGAAGGACTATTACCCAAATATATAAAGAACACTTCAATCTCAACCATGAGAAAAGAAACAACCTAACAACATGGTCAAAAAGCCTAAACAGGCACCTCAGCAAAGAAGATAGATAGATGGCAAATAAAAAGAAGAAAATATGCTCCACATCATGTGCCATGAGGAAAAGGCAAATGTAAACCTCAATGGGATACTACTTACTTAGAATGGCTGAAATCCAGGACACTGACAACACCAAGTGCTGGTGAGGATATGGAGCAACAGGAACTTCCATTCATTGTCAGTGAGAATGCACAATGAATGGTATAGGCATTTTAAAATACAGTTCGGAGATTTTTCATGAAATTAAAAACTCTTATCATACAATTCAGCAATTGCACTTTTTGGTATTTATCCTAAGGAGTTGAAAACTTATGTTCACATGAAAACCATACATTTCATTGGTAATGCAGCTTTATTCAGGATTGCCAAAACTTGGAAGCAACCGAGATGCTCTTTGGTAAGTGAACAGATCAATAAACTGTGATGCACCAGACAATGGAATATTATTCAGTTGAAACAAACAAAAAAATAAAACAAAACCATGAAAAGACACAGGGGATCCTTAGGTACATATTACTGAGTGAAAAAAAGTCAGTCTGAAAATACTACATACTGTATTCCAATTGTACAACATTCTGGAAATGGCCAAACAATGGAGACAGTAAAAAGGTTAGTGCTTTCAGTGGTTGTGGTTTGAGGAGAGAGGAATACATGCGGCAAAGAAGATTTGGGGGCACTGAAGATGCTCTGTAGGATACCATAATGAAGGATACATGCCATTATACAATTTTCCTAATTCAGGATTCACAATATCAGGACTGAACTGTAAACTATTGATTTTAATAAATTGCTCCAGATCAGAAGACTACATGAATGAAGGAAAATACATTTTGACATGATACCCAAACACTAATAACAATCAATTTTAAAAGCATTATAGTTTTGGATGTGAAATTAATAAAAAAATATATAATAAATGTTACAATGGAAATTCTAGAGTAATATCCTCATGCATTTGGAGTACAGTAAATTTCTGAAAGAGGATGTAAAAGTAATGGTAGAGAAAAATTTTTAAAATTAAAAATACCTAAAAATTAAGAACTTCCCTTCACTTAAAGACATCATACAGAAAACAAATTTAAGCTTCATAAAGAAGATTTTTACAATACTTACAAATTTACAAGGTAGATATTTACAATAGAAATACAAAATACTTTTATCTATTATGTTAAAGAACATCTGTGAATCAACCAAAAAACAAGGAGCTAACTCAATAAAAATAGAGATCAAGTATTAAAATACACCCAGCACAAAATACTATGACTAACTGAGCAATAAATATGTCAAGGAACTTAACAGTATTGGTCATCAGGAAAATGTCAATTAAAATCACAATGAAGTATTAACACACACTCATCAGAATGACAAAAATGGGTAAAACTGACAACAAAGTGTTGACCAGTATGCTAAACAACCAGTATGTCATGTACTTTTGGTTGGATTATCTACAATCTATGGACTTATTTGCTAATGCTGACCTGTACATACTGCATGGTTTAAAATTTTTTCTCATAAGTATATCCCAAACAATATCCGCTACTCACTAAAAGTCTAAAAGTATAAGGATGTTAAAAGCACCATAATTTGCAGTAGTCAAAATGTGGCACTACCTGAATGTCTATCAAAAGTAGAATGATTAATAAATTAATAAATAGTGTGAAATACTCCATAGCGAAGATCTGAAAACTACAACCTGAGGCCAAAATCAGAGCTAAAAGTGTTTTCACATTTTAAAATAATCAAAACAATAATAAATAGAAAAGCAAAAATAGTTATGAGAAGAATAATATTTTGTGACCATGGAAAGTATACAATATTCAAATTTCCATGTTTAATTTTAGTGAAATGCAGACAAGCTCAATTGTTTACATATCATATGTGGCTGTTTTACACTACAATACAGAATGGAACATTGTAACACAGATTGTATGGCTAACAAAGCCAAATTTATTTACTATCTTTCTCTTTGCATAAAAATTATTTCAACCCCCTTCAACAATGAATCAATGAACTTTTGCTACATGTTATGTATGGAAGAATCATACAAACCTGATGTGAAAAGAAAATAAGATGCAAAGAATACAAAAAAAAATGTATGATCTTATTTATGGAAATATTTTTATTTTTTATTTTTATTTTTTAAGATCTTATTTATTTATTTTTATTTTTTAAGATCTTATTTATTTATTCATGAGAGACCCAGAGAGAGGCAGGGACACAGGCAGGGGGAGCACAGGCTGCAGGGAGCCTGACGTGGGACTCGATCCGGGTCTCCAGGACCATACCCTGGGCCCAAGGCGGCGCTCAACTGCTGAGCCACCCGGGCTGCCCTGAAAAAATTTTTAAATGGGCAAAACTAACCTATGCAACAGATATCAAAATAGTGATGGGAATGTTGGGTAGAATGTGAGAGTATCAGGGTGAATGATTTTGTCTTACTCATTTTTGCATCTCCTCATGCTTTATACAGGTCAAGTAATTCATAACTATTCATTCATTGATACCCATTAAATGAGAAATGAATACCCATGGATACCCATGAATGAGAAAAAAGTGCAAATAATGAGAAGAGAGTGTGAATAATGAAAAAGATCATGTTTGAGGCAGAAAAGAAAATGATCATTTGATAAGAAGTCCCAGAAAAGAAAACAATAAGTAAAAAATATAAATGTAATTTACTCACCTAGGACAATAATTAGAAGAATATTTAAAATGAAGAATATTACACATAAAACACGCATTAAAATTGTCATCTTACTCTTGTCCTTAACATCTGAAAAAAAATTTACATTTAGAAACAAGTTAAAGAGAGACTAAGTTTACATTTATAACCATAACCAACAAAATTCAGGAAATTTATTCATATTTCAAGAGATGATACAAACATACTGTTTCTGTTTGTTATATGGAAAAACAACAACAACAACCCTGCTTTTTTGAAATTTCTCAGGACATCCTTACATTCAATCTAAGTGTTATCATGGATTTTATTGCCATAGCGCAAGGAATCGAATATGTATAATTCTTTAGGATAGAATTTCTTAAGACCTGGAGCCACCCCCAGGCCTTTAATATCCTTCTCCTCTGGTACAATATCAGCACATCCTAACACTCCTTGAATATTTCTAAGAAAATCTACTTTCTAACTAATGAAAAGTTTACTTCAAAGGAAAGATAGTATAGCATTTTTAGAAGTTCATGAATAATCTATCCAAAGATTTGGAATTGAGATTTATGCTACAAACAAACAAAGGGAACTTGAATGAGATTTGGGGGTGGGGGCTGGTATTTTCTCATCTGCAAAGTCAGTAGAAAAGAAGAGAAAAGATCATGTTTGAGGCAGAATAGAATAAGTTTTTGATGAGGAATTTTTTTTATTGGTGTCTATTTTGGGAAAAATGGTTCATAAGATTTTTGAAATAAAACACTTATTGTTTATATGATTCTAAAGTATTCACCTTTATTGTAATATATTATGAAATTTTAAAAGTTGCAGCAGTTACTTTAAGATGGATGGTACACTGATTGAGGGCATTTATCACTCCTATCTTTTCCCTAGTGAAGAGCTATTCTTTTGTTGGATGAAATTTTTTCCTTTGTGGATGTATGAGAAGACATTAAATTTAAAACACATCTAAATTTATACTACATGGACATAACCAGCCTTACCATTTGGGTCAACATCCTTTATCTCTCTAATCCTATTTTCACACATCTAACCTTCTCTCACAAAGACACATGATTTTAAATGAGTACAGTCATCAGATACCCACTCTTTTATATTCTGATGATATCAGCAATTTTTCTTCTCATGTGTGGTTCTTAAGAATGGCCTCCAATGAATCATACCCCTCTGTGTCCACCAACCCTTTGACACATGATCCTGCTATTTCTCCCATCAAGAGATATGATGAATTGTTGAATTCCCCAACACTTGAATACACATCACCTTATGCCTTGCTTTAACCAACACACTGTGGTAGAAGTGACCCTGAAACTTTATAGCCAAGCCTTAAGACACCTTGTAATTCCTACTTACACAGTTCAGGAGAAATGAGCCATTCCTACTGAATCTCACCTTATCCTTATACTGTAAAAACCACAAGCAATGCAAAGCAAAAGCAAAATACAACCATTGGTATTTTAAGTCACTAAAATTTAGGAATGGTTGTTCATTCAGAGCAACTACTGAACTTATGCATCATGTAAAAAATAATTTGACACAATTTTAATGAATGATAATACTTTTAGGTAGCTATACTGATTTTTAAAAAGTCCTCTTCTGATGAGTATTTATTATATTATATTATTTATTATTTATTTATAGGCTGTTCTAGCCATTTTAGTTTGAACTAAAATTAGAATGAGTATAGTTTAAATATCTTGCATGGTTCCCTAATTTTACTCTTAAGAAAAAAATTTCAAAAAGAAACAAATTGGCATATATTGATTAGATGTTCTTCTAAAAGTATGGTGACAATCTACACTATCAAGCATAATGTATGAAAATATTAATACTCATAAAAATTCATAATAAAGTAATTTTTATAAGTACCAAAAGAAGGGAGAGGGAATGCCACAAAGAGAAAACTAGCATTGTTTCTTAGCCACCAAACTGTTATTTCAACTATGTGAGAAACAGAATTAAGAACTATGTTTGACCTATGTGTTTCTATCAAATTTGTGAAAAGTCCTGTCATTAGTTGAGCATTTCTTCTGACCATCTGGAATTTCGAAGCTACACAATGAACATGAACTGCAATGCTTCACTTGTGAACCAGCATTGTGTTTGTTTGTTCATTCTTTTTTTTTTAAAAAAAGATTTTATTTATTTATTCTTGAGAGAGAGAGAGAGAGAGAGTCAGAGACACAGGCATAGGGAGAAGCAGGCCCCATGCAGGGAGCCCAACGTGGAACTCGATCCCAGGTCTCCAGGATTACACCCTGGGCTGAAGGCAGCGCCAAACTGCTGAGCCACCCGGGCTGCCCTGTTTGTTCATCCTTTACAAATATTTACTGATCACCTACTCAGTGCTAGTTTCTACAAATTTAACCCTAAACAAAAAAAGACATAATCTATTCCCAATCAGATTGGTGGAAAAGACACAGTCAACTTAAAAAAAAAAACTTTAAAATTACAGATTGCAACAGGTTCTGGAAGGCACTATGAGGGTGCTCTGACTGATAAAGGGAAAATGAGCAGAAAAGAGTGGTGGACATTCTGTGGAAGTGACATTAAAATCAAGACAAGAACAGCAAGTGCAAGTGTCTTGAATCAGGAAAGAATTGAAAAGAATGTGGCAAAGCAGAACACCTTTGATAGGGTCAGAATAGCCCAGAATAGTGACTAGTTAGGAGCAAAATGATGCTCAACTTCGAAGGCCCTGGGAAAGTAACTTGGCTTTCTTCAATGTATAATGAGGAGCCACTGAATTGTTTTAGGTGGGTGTTTGGCATTGCCAGATTTGTGCTTTTCAAAGTGCTCTCTGGGGCAGCCTAGGTGGCTCAGCGGTTTAGTGCCGCCTTCAGCCCAGCGTGATCCTGGAGACCTGGGATTGATTCCCCGTAGGACTCCCTGCATGGAGCCTGCTTCTCCCTCTGCCCGTGTCTCTGCCTCTCTCTCTCTCTCTCTCTCTCTCTCTCTCTCTCTGTGTGTGTGTGTGTGTGTGTGTGTCTCAAAAATAAATAAAATAAAAAAAAATAAATAAAATCTTTTTTTTTTTTAAGTTCTCTCTGCCTAGTGAGTGGAGAGACTATTTAGGGAGCTAAACAAGGGTGGTAGCAGTGGAGACCAAAAAAAAAAAAAAAATCAAATGGAGCACTTGGAGACCACTGGTATCCTTGATAAAATGGTTTCAGAGTCATACAGAGTAACGGTAGATTGCTGCAAGTAAGGAAGTGAAAATAGCAAGTAAACTCAGAGAGCCTGTGTCATGTGAAGGAGAACAAGCAAAGAGGTTGTTAGAATGAGATGAATGGTTATTATAGGGTTTTTTTAAAAAAAAGGGTTTAACACATAATGTTTTTTCTGTGCATTTAGGGATGATTTAATATGGAAGGGATAGATTGTTGGTGTAGGCAAGAGAGAGAGAGGAAGGGAATAACTAGATTAAGAAGAAGAATCCCCCCCCCCCCACAAAAAAAGAAGAAGAATCCCTGCACAGGCTACAGGGGTTGCAGTCTGAAGTACAAATGGAAGGAGTATTCCTAGGTAAGAGAAAAGAGCCTCCCTCCAAAGTCATAAAAGTCAAAAAGAGGAGAAACAAAACATACAACCTGTCTTTTCAGCCTCTGTGGTTCTCTGTATGCCTCGGTTCCAAACTTTAGTCCAGGCTCTTTCTAATGGGATTTTAATTACCTTTCAAGTGTCACCTTATTAATCTCTCTAATTCCTATTAGTTTTCTATAAGTATCAAGAAAACAAGTGCCTTTCTCCTTTTTCTATGTTGAGTCAAGTCAGTTTGTCCTTATGACATTTTATTTGCCCATGAATTGGCAGAGTGGATGAAGGAGTATTATTGTTATAAATATTACATGTTCAAAATCTTGATTAAAATTTTAGAGTGTATATCTTTATTTTCTTACCTCTTATAATCCTATTATCTCTTCATCCATTAAATAATACTATCTCTTTTTAATTTTTTGTATTTTTTTTTGAGAGAGAGAGAAAGAGGGGGTATGCAAGCAAGGGGAGGGACAAGAGGGAGAGAATCTCAAGCTGACTCCTCGCTGAGTGTGAAGTCTGACTCAGAGCTCATCCCAGGACCCCAAGATCATGACCTGAGGTAGAGTTAGACACTTTACTGGCCACCTAGGTGCCCTTCCCTTCTCTCTCTCTTTTTTTAAATTAGAGAATACATATATGCTATGTTTTCAGAAGGTCTGGCTTATAATAGTAATTACATAAAAGGAAGCTGTATTATTTTTTCTTCTGTTATAGCTCTCCAATTTTCCATATTTTAATTACTGTGTATGTGTGTATCTGTGGGGGGGGGAGGTGAAGATTACTGTAATATCAGGTGGAATTTTTTGAATGTATTTATATATTTATTTATTTATTATTTTAAGTAGGTAGTCAGGCTCTTTGGAATACTTTTCTCCAGAATTATTGCTGAAAGAAAACCCAAAACTGCTCCAATCAACGATCCTTCATTTAAACTGTACACACACACACACACACACACACATTCATATATATCTTATTAAAAGGATGATTCTAAAAACTAAGGAGGGATTTTAAAAGAAGAAATGCCTCTGAAGCCAACAAGAAGAAAGAAGGGTAATATTCCATTGTATATTACTCAGCCATTAGAAATGACAAATACCCACCATTTGCTTCAACGTGGATAGAACTGGAGGGTATTATGCTGAGTGAAATAAGTCAACCAGAGAAGGACAAATATTATATGGTCTCTTTCATTTGGGGAATATAAAAAATAGTGAAAGGGAATAAAGGGGAAAGGAGAAAAAATGAGTGGGAAATATCAGAAAGGAAAACAGAACATGAAAGACTCCTAACTCTGGGAAACGAACTAGGGGTGGTGGAAGGGGAGGTGGGTGGGGGGGTGGGGGTGACTGGGTGACGGGCACTGAGGTGGGCACTTGACAGGATGAGCACTGGGTGTTATTCTATATGTTGGCAAATTGAACACCAATAAAAAATAAATTTATAAAAAAAAGAAAGAAGAAAGAAGGGTACGCACTTTCTATTAGTATGAGAAATGCTAATTTGCATTACAAAAACAGTAAGAGTCCTTTCCATGGCAAAGTTGGCAAGATATCAGATCTTATAATTTTGTGGTGCGGTGAGAATGCTAGATCCTGCATGTAGATGACACCAGCCTCAATAAGATGCACATGCCATGGACGTAGCAAAGAAACAGTGTGGCCTTTGTTATAAGTGTAGCACAGAAACAGTGGGACTAGAACCAAAAGGCTAATTTGATGTTGGCATATATCTTCTCATAAATAATAAGAGAAAAGAAATGACTGAAGACTCTCTCGGTACTTTGATGCCACATAAAAGCTAAAAAATATCATATAACACTCTCGGGGGGGGTGCCAATTTGGAGTGACCTTTAGTTTGATTTAGGACACTGATGAACTGAGCATTTATTGCACTTCCTAATATGCAGGTACATATTTAAACAAACATGCTACATGTTTGTTCTCTATTTAATCTGTCCACTTCTGGAGCCCTGAAATCTACGTTTTTACATTCAGCATAAATAGCTTTTATTTTATAAGCTCCTTCTCTATACCCTTAGGCTCAGTGATCAATACCTGTACACTGCACAAATTATCCAAAAAACAAGAAGAACAGAAAGTACTGGTTTCCCACTATGAATTTAGTAGTGAGAGATGAATTTCAAACAAGTTGCTCACCCTCATAATGTGTTAACAAGGGATGTAAAAAATAGATAACAGTAAAAGCCTATTTAATTAACAATGTAACTAAAATAGTTCTAAACTCATCCCTATCATAATCTAAACATAATCTAAACAACTAAGGATTCCAGTTATTTTCCCCATCGAAAAGCATCAGACTCAAGTAATTTCTTTTCATTTCTGAATCTGATCTCCTGTGCGCTGGCTTTGGCAGCATATGTACTAAAATTGACAATGATCGTTTCCAAGGAGAGGTTAAGAGGTAAATTCCAGGGTGACCAATGAATTTAAAACTAAAAAAATACACTTTTTCCTAGCTGACAGCTATGGAAAAAAAATCATAAGTTACCAAGAAGCAGAAAGAACATTATAAAAGAAAATATTAAGAATATAAAAGAAATATAACCAAATATAAAAGAAAATATTAAGAAAATAAAATATTAAAAAATAAATTATAAGTTACTATAAAAATCATTAACTATTACAATGGTGTTTAAGTTCAAATTATATATCTATAAATGCTATGTATAATATTATACATATATATAATATTATTTAGTAAACCACAGACTATATTTATATACTATATATCATTTATTTATACCTGAAATATATAAATTCATATTGTTGATTGATCTCTGATATAGAGACTAACAGATTTTATGAGTGACTAAAGAGCATTCTCAAAACTTTGATTCCAATATTTTCATGTTATCGTCTAATATTTAATCCCATTGTCCCCAGCCCTCTTTGATCTAATCTTAAACAAAATTATTAAATTGTCAAAAAAATGAGGAATAAGTATTTATACATCCTATATGAACTGCAGTAACAGTAACTCTTGATGGTTGCATGTCCTGGTATTTGAAAATAAATTAAACAGCAAATATTTAGAACCCACCAGAGCCTCTAAATTGATTTAATGCATTTTAGCTTTATTACCTCTCTTCTTCACCATATTTTGACTAGAAATACTGCTGTTAAAATAACTTTGAAAGATTGTTTCTGCTAGATTTAGAGTTTAGATCGTACATATTCTGAACTTGCTAGTTAGTATGTCCAAAGCTACCAAATTGTTTTCTCCTTTCTAGTTGTAAAGTGCATTTTCTTTGCTTATCTTTCTTAAGATTGCCAGAGACAACTTCAAGGATATCAGAATACTAGTGATTATATAAGAGCCCGATAGGGAGATCATCTTTCTGCTATTAAGAAACCCTAAAGCCTAGTTTAGCTTGACTCAACTCACTATCCATAAACAATCTTTTACAACATTAGAAATCTTGGCCGAAGTTTTCATATTGTGTCTGCATTCTGGGCCTTGAATGAGTATGTGTATCATATTTAACATTTTCTCCAGTATTGGTTTTATTAAATACTTAGTAAAAATGAAATTAAATCTTGAACAGTTTTGAGCTGTAGTTAATCCCTCTCCACTACCAGTTAAAATAAGATACAGTGAATCTCCATTTATAAGACAAAATAGCCAAAAAAAAAGACAAAATAGCCTATTACAAATCTGAATTTTATTGTTACAAATTTCATTTTATGGAGATATTAACTCAAAAAAGGATTTTTCGTCCTCAATGGAAAAAAATAACCAAATCTGTTCCATACCTTGGAAAGCTTTTGACATGTGCATTATGTGTGATAATTTCCGTCAATAACATTCATTCTGAACAACTGTAAATGTCTTACCTTGCTTCTCTGCATCGGTTCCTTGATTGCTGTTATCAATGAGGGAAACTACCAGGCTTTCTGTCATCCTTTCCAAAACCTCTCTGCAAAGCTTTAAATTTAATGCAAAAATGTTATTAGTCTTTTTTATAGCAGTTCCAAACTCGAGTTACTCTATTTTAGAAAAGCAAAACAATTTTAAGCAATATTTCTTAAAATGAAAGTAAAAATGTGTCTGATTGAGTCTATTACCTAACCACAATTTCTTCTGTAAAATGAAAAAAAAAAAAAAAAGGAAACCACACACACAAAACAAACACCATTTACTAAAGACGGAACTTACTTAAAAGTAAAGAACTAACAGGCTCATATTTTCCTATTTTTTTCAGCAGAGGATTCTTATTGAACAAAAATATATTCAAGAGGCTATTTTTTCAATTGTTTCAAGAATAGTACATAACCGGGGTACTTCCAGGGCCATAGGAGATAAGGATACTAATTAATTAAAAGGCATGATTTAAGACTTGTGTTTAGACATTTGCTCAGACACAATAATCATATGTTTAGAAAGACAATCTTAAAGGTGACGAAATCAAAGAGAAGAAAGCTATGTTTCAAGCTGGCTGCTGAAGCAAGAACAAAAACAATTTTCTCTCTTTCTCAGACACAATCATGGCTGCACGCACACCCACACACCTCTACACAAACAGGAAAAAAAAAAGAAAGAGAAAAAGGAAAATAAAAGATACTCAGAACATTACCATCAATATTCAAGATGGTAATGCTATCAGGCTAGTGTTAGGTTGTCAGGAAATAGGTTCCTTTTCCAATCTGTCCTCATAAGAATTTTCAAATGTTTCATATCCTTTCAATAAATACATTAAAAAAAATCTACAGAGAGGCAGGTGATGTCATACAAGCTGCTTCAGGATTAACACTGCATTTGTTCTGACAGGGACACTGAAGGGAAAAGGAAATGAGAATGGAGAGGAGAGTAGACAAAAAAAATGAAAAGAAAAAAAATGTGAAAAGAATAATCCCATTTTATACAGGATTGAACTCTTCCAGATGGCCTTAAATATACAGCTCTGGTCACTTCTATCATCACTCAAAACAAAATTATTCATGATAAAAATGCAGATAACAAGATCGTTCCTTCAATTTTGAGACAGAAAAAAAGACTACAAAATTAGGGAGGAATAAACGTTTCTACCTATGTCATCACCAAAATATTCTATCCAGAGGACTATTAGAAATTCACATATAGGAGAATATAGGGATTGCACTATCATGGTTGAGTGAAATTTAGTTTTGTTCCTAAGGAAAAGCAATTAAGTTATGAAATTTCACTCAAAATATAAAACATTTCCATCACTTACTTCAAAGTGTTTCCTAATGTACCTTTACAGTTCATCCCACAAACCAGGCAGTCACTAAGCTATTAACAGAGATGAATTTTGCTGGTTTTAGAATTTTATATAAATAGAATGCTATGCATGCACCCTTGTGAGTCTGTTATCTTTTGCACAGTAAAATGTTTTTGAGTTTCATCCAGATTGTGGCATAGACCAGCAGTTCCTTTACATTATGGAGTAGAATCTAAGTGTGTGAATGTATAATAATTTGCTTATCCATGACTCTATTTGGTTGTTTGCACTTTTTGACTCTCATAAATAAAACCAGCATCAGTATTTCTGTTAGTCTTTCTGTGAACATTTCTTTTCTAATCTTTTGAGGAAATACCTAGTAGTGCATTTGCTAGGTCATATAAAAAATATGTATTTTTTGTGATAAGAATACTCAACATGTGATCTGAGAGGTGATGGATATGTCTATTATCTTGATTGTGATAATGGTACCATGGGTGTTTGCATATGTCTAAACTCATCAAATTGTACTCATTAAATATGTGCAGTTTTTTGCATATTAATTACACTTCAGTAAAGCTGTTTTTAAAAACAAAAATATGTGTTTAATTTTGTAAACACAAAATATCTTCTAAAGGATTTGTACCATTCCCTCCATTAATGTAGAACAGTTGCAGTTCTTTCTTCCAGATCAACAGCAACATCTGATATATCTTTTTAATTTTCACCATTCCAGGAGGTATGTGATGGTATCCAAATGTAGTTTTAAGTTTTAAGCTGCATATCTCTGATAATCTGCTGAACATTTTCTCATCTGCTTAGGGCAATTAATATATCTTTTTTTGTGAGCTCTCTACTCAGATATTTTGCCAATTTTTATAGGATGATTTGTCTTCTTTTTAATGAGTTGTAAGATATAGATTTATATTTGTCTTAAAAATCTAGAACTCTCTAAATCTAATAAACCTGAAAGTGGCATAATCTCCGTTGTTAAAGTCTAAAGTTTATCCTTGCTTAAAGACGATACTGAGTCTTATGCCATCAAAGAAAGTGCACACCCTCCTTACAATCATCCCTTCCTTCCCCTCCTGATCATAAGGACAATAACTCAGATTAACTGTTAGCCTTGATACTCAGGAGAAATTCAAGACCTGACCAATATGCAATGACAATCTAGAGCACCCACAATGTGATTGGATTCCAAGGGCTATAGATAAAGAGAGAAACACAAAGCTGGATGAGAGAGATTTTATCAACAATGGAGTACTCTTAAGAAATAAGATTTAATAAACTGGCAAAATGTGATGGGGCTGATAAACTGTTATCTCCAAGAAGATGAAGAAAGTAATAGCTCATCCTAAGCAGAGTAAAATGCCAGAATAGCTATGGGAGATAGTAAAAGAGAAGATAAACATACAAAAATCCTTACACCAGTTGGGATTCCGTAATGGACATACTCTGGACTGAAAATCCACCAAGCGTAGTATGGGATGGTATGATGGGCACCCTATTAACAAAGCAATAAGATATACACTGGCAGAAGAACATACACATCACTGAGAAACTTTCTGCAGCTTTATTCTCTAGACCAAGGATTGCAATAGGAGATGTTTTCACAGAATTGGATTTATGGATAGCATTGAAACTGATAGGATCTTGGAGTAGAGAAGGTCAAATGGCACAGCTCAATAACCAGAAATGAGTGATGCTAAGTATTTATCTTTGTTTTTAATACAGTTTATTTAATTTTAGCTTTAGATAATGTAACTTTTAATTATAACTATATTTAATGATTGTCTCACAAAGTCCTGAAAATTTAATAGTCAGACCTTGCAAGCATACCACTGGGTTTTGCTCAACACCTGCAATAGAAATAAATAAACCAAAAATGGATGATCACTAGGCTAAGGGAAACCATAACCTCAAAGTTATAAACTATTACTTCATTCTATTCCTAGAATTCTACTCCTCCTGAGCTGGTTTTCTGACTCAGGGCCCAATTATTAAAGGAAAAGACAGATCCTCAGAAAGAAGATCCCGTTCAATACCATGGCTAGCATAAATCATAATGATTCACTCAATCCAATCCTAAAGGGACTTATATTAGTCTTCTCAGACTTCCATTTCAAACTATAACTGGCTGGGTGACTTAAATAACAGAAATTAATTTTCTCACAGTTTTGGAGTCTGGAAGCCCAGGATCAAAGTACCAGAGAACTGATGTCTGGTGAAACCGTGCTTGCAGATGGCTATCTTTTCACCATTTCCTCATATTACTTATTTTCTGCAGGCATGGACTGACAGAGTGCTTACTGGTATCTCATCCATTCTTATAAGGACATCAGTCATATCAGATTAAGCCTCAACCCGTATGTCCTCATTTACCCTTAATTATCTCCTGAAAGGCCCTATCTCCAAATACAGTACAATGAAGGTTAGAGCATCAATAAGATGAATCTGGAGAGACAAAAGTTAGTCTATCATATTCCATCCTCTGGCCTTTCAAATAACATATCCTTCTTCATGTTAAATACATTCACACCATCCCAGTAGCCTCAAGTCTTAACCAGTGTGATTCATCTTGAGGCAAAATTCCTCTGTAGTTGTGAAACTGAAAACAGGTAAGACATGTACTTATAAGATACAATAGTGGGATTGGCTTATTCTTATTCCAAAAGGGAGAACTTGGAAAGAATAGAGTAGTGACAGGCTCCAAGCAAGTCCAAAACATAGGAAATTTCCCACTACGAGTAGGGCTCAAGAGTAATCAATCCTCTTTGGCTGAACACCCTGCTCTGTGGGCCCACTGATGAGCAATGTAATCCCCAGGGCCCTATGTTTCTCAGTTGAGTGGCAGCCTTGTCCCTGAGGCCCTGAGTAGGGACTATCTGAAATTGAGGAAGTTGCTCCACACTCTGAAATTGAGGAGGAAACGGCCTTGTCCCTCTCCATTCCCCACTTTCTCCTCTTGACGTATGTTCTAGGCTTGTGGTGGGAGTGACAGCCCCACTGTAAAAATAATCTTTAGGTTATCCCTCTTTCTTTTTGAAGGATAAAGTTTATAGAACCCCAACAGTCTGAAAACATTTAATTTCAGCCTGCCTCATTCATCTTTATTTCAAATTTACAGTGTCTCTGCTGCTGCATTCCTCTCTCTATTTCTGGCTTCTGATGATATGGCTGATGAGCATTATAGGTAATCTCTTTATGGAGTGACTGTCCAGTCATACTTCTGGTGTTTTCTCAAGAACAAAGGTGTCAAGGGAAATCCAAGAAATGTAAAATAGCATAATAAAACAGCTTATCAGACTAAAAATGTGCCATAAAATCAAATTGAAATTTGGCGAGGACATGGGGAAAATTATGTAAAATTATGGTATAAACTTTAGACATGTTCAAATCGAGATATTTCTCAATTGGATATCTTTGAGCTATCTCAGTATTCAACCCCATGAACACTTATTACAATCAGACTCATAGTTAGAGAACTAGATATCAAATATCTTGGACAGAATGGATAAATTTCTTTTTTTTAAGAGGTAGGATCACATGTCTAGTTAATGTGTATTGATAAGAACCTGAGACCATACATTGGAGTGAATTCTAAGAATGTTGTTGCAATGGGATAAAATAGGTGAATTGACAAAGGTGAATTTTTTGATACTGAATTAGGATTTAATGTTTGCTTCACTAGGAGGTAAATCAATGATTAGCTAGGTTGGCTACCAAAACCTGGATATAGTTAACAATGTTTAAATATTGGAAATTCCATAGCACAAACTACAGTATAGAATCTTAGGGCTCAGAAAAATGATTATGCTGAAATGAATCTAATCTGTGCAACCTACACAACCCCATTTTAATTATATTCCCCCATAGGACCTAGAGGGCATGTTTTGCAACAAAACCTTAAGAATGCATTGTCAAAGTCAATTGGCGAGGGCCTATTGTGATTGTTATCTGTAGAAACGTAGTGGAAGGTACCTGGGTAGCTCAGCGGTTGAGCGTCTGCTCTCTGCTCAGGGCGTGATCTCTGGATCCGGGATCGAGTCCCACATAGGGCTCCTTGCATGGAGCCTGCTTCTCCCTCTGCCTGTGTCTCTGTCTCTATCTCATTGTCTCTCATGAATAAATAAATAAAATCTTAAAAAAAAGAAAAGAAATGTAGTGGAAATTGCTACAGTGGAATCAGGTTTCTGATACCACTAGTAATTATTTGATTTGAAGGTTAAGTGGATTCAATTTCTGCAATAAGCCAGAAAGACTTACTGGTAATCAGAGTTTTGATTCACAGAGATCTGTGACAAGGGGTAGTTGATTTTGAACTTGCTTCCTAGAGAGGGGGTGAAGGGAACTCAAGAGCTACTTGATACGCTGAGAAGATTCTAAGAATGTTGAGCAGAATCTTCTTTTTTAAGATTTTATTTATTTATTCATGAGAGGCACAGAGAAAGAGGCAGAGACACAGGCAGAGGATGAGGCAGGCTCCCTGCAGGGAGCCTGATCTGGGACTTGATCCCAGGACTCCAGAATCACCACCTGAGCCAAAGGCAGAGGCTCAACCACTGACCCACACAGATGCCCCTGACAAGAATCTTAACTCTAATTTTCAGGGAGGTGGCTCACTGTCCCTTATCCAGTCCTCAACTTAAGTATAGTTACTAGCTGAAGCTCTTCCCAGATCAGGGATCCCTCATTTGGGGAAAGGAAAGATTGGACCCCCTTGTTGAAGGACATTGAAACATGGCCACAGATATCGTTACGGCATTTCTTCTCACAAACCTAACCCAGAAAGCTTCCAGTTGTTTTCTTGGATGACCGCATTCTGCGAAAATGGAATACTAGCTTTTATTTACAAGCATAAATACCATAAGCATTTCTTTAAGTGTCTAGACCAGGTATTTATTAGCTGTACTGATTTCTGCCATACTATATCCCAGAGGATACTAGATTATCTTGCTATATTTCAGAACAGGACATAGCTCAGAATTTATTGCTAAAATAAATTTATTACTTTGATGACATTATACTAATTGTAATTGGTGAACAATAAGCAGTAAACATCCTATGACTCTACTACAGTATATGTTCACCAGCAAGAATCTGATCTAATTTGACTAGTTTGACCCCATGGACCCTAAATTTAGAAATGCACAACAGTTTTCTATCATAAATCCAAAAGAAGTATATTGGAGGCCAGGCCTGAAGAGTTCCAAAACAACACAATAAACTACATGAACAGATGGCTCATATTTCATGGTGCATCTTTTATTAATTCTCTCTCTTCACCTCAACCTTGTATAGGGCCTTGGAGTAGGGTGGGGAGGTGGTTTTGGAAAAGATTCCATATGGTCATGTAAGGGAGATGTAAAAAGAAAAGTTTTATCGGTGGAAATAAGATATATTCCAACTAGAAATAGATGCCACACTACAATCCAATTTTGGGGGGGGTGACTTTGAGAGACAGAAGTGAGTCTTCACATTAAACAGAAATTTGGGTGATGTATCTGGTTGCCCATCTGGCAGGAAAGATGAACACCCAGAGATATAAATCTAAACTGGAAGGGCACCTGGGTGGCTCAGTTGGTTAAGCATCTGCCTTCAGCTCAGGTTATGATCTTGGGGTCCTGGGATAGAACCCTGCATTGTGTTCCTTGCTCAGTGGGAAGTCTGCTTCTCTCCCTCTCCTACCTCTCCACCCCACTTGTGCTCTCTCTCTTTTAAATAAATAAATAAATAAATATTTTTTTTAATAAAATATTTTTAAAAATAAATCTAAACTGGCTAATAGTCAGAGATTGTTGGGTTATATGGCTGGTCAAGAACTCCAAAAGAACAAAATTGGAAAATCAATGACAGAGAAATCTAGGGGAGAAGTATATGTAAGGATTATTCAGAATGGACACAAACTGTGAAGATATTCATCCTTGTGTAAATACAAATAAGTAATATCCACAACTGAAGAGGAGACTCTCAGTAATCAGGTAGATAAAATGATATGTGTTGGGGACATCTGGAAGTCTCTTTCTCCAGAAACACCTATATTGGGTCAATGGACAACTATAAAGTAGCGTGGCAGCCAAACTGGAGACTATTCATGGAATCAACAATGTGGTCTTCTACTACCCAACAATGACTTGGAATTAATGAATTTCTAACATGCCAAATACAGAGGCTAAATCTAAGTCTCATATAAGATACCAATTCAGGGAAGGACAGCTGGGTAGCCTGGTGGGAGATTGATTACATTGACACTTTATCATATCGAATGGGGCAACACTATGTCTTGTAATGTAGACTCATACTCCAAAATGAATTTATCTTGGTATCCACAAATCTTTTGCAGTGCCATCATCTGCAAACACAAAGAATTATGGTATGCTGTATCCATCTCCCTTATATTCACTTTACCATTGTTTCTGTATCGATCATCTCCTGAGAACCACCTCAGACAGTTGTAGTCATAACTCTTTCAGGGATTTTGGACAACCATTTAGACTAATTGTTATGACAACTGATTCAAAGCAAGCCCAATATTATCTTTTCTGATGCGGTCATTATGTGATCCCGAAACACCCAACCTATGACTTACCAGTTGCCACTGAAAGATATTTTCGTTTGTTTGAACACATGTATAATGCACAAGTGTAATAAAGGTAGTGCCATGTAGAGCAAACTTTTTACCAAAGTAAGGACTAGAGCAATGGATAAGTTTTCCTCCCTTGTTCTGCTTCTGCTCCTGAGACAAAGTAGTTTAACTGACTTTTCTAAAGATGATCCTATGAGGTAAAAAAATTATCCTTGATATTGAGTAGTGGTCAACTTATGCTTTTTATTTTTTCTTTTTTCCTATCTCATCCCCCTACCACTCATTCCTGTTTCCCTGTGTTGCACTTCTGCAAAAAAAGTTAGATGTCTCACTCAGGCTTTGTTTTCTAGGATCCACACTTCCTAGAAAAACTGGTAACTGAATGGCTTCAAGAAGTAGTTTTTTTTAATGGGATTTTTTGTCAGTTAGGCTGAGGACAATGGGGACTCAATTACTAGAAGCAGATAGAGCAGTGATGATCCTTGGTACCTGGGTTATCAAAATATTAAGATATTCATTTGGGATCAATTTCTATGAGTGCAATGGAATGTAGAAGCGTTTGGGTATATGATGGTGTGGTCCTTGGTTGGTATGGAGGAAATCATAGGCCTTGTGGTGAGGGCTGGCTAATAGAAAACTTAGAAAAAGAAAAGGAAAGATCCAGATCACTGGCTAAAAATTGAATGAATGATATGTAATCTGGAGTATTTCTAAGGCAGCTTGGATGAAAATTTGCATATTCTGGGTCTTGCATGAGTTCAGTGATTCATCAGTTGTATGTAACACCCAGTGCTCATTACATCATGTCTCCTTAATGCCTGTCACCCAGTTACCACATCTGCCACCCACTTCCCCTCCAGCAACTCTCAGCTTGTTTCCTAGAGTTAAGAACCTCTTATGAGGCCAGTCTTTCTGTTCTAGTCAGGCCTTCAACTGATTGGAGGAGTTCCACCTACATCATGGAGAGCAATGTACTTTCCTCAAAGTCTACTGCTTTAAATATGAACCTCATCCAAAACCATCTCGACAAAAACACTCAGAAAGTTTGACCAAATATTTGGGCACCCTGTAGCCCAGGCAAGTCGACATATAAAATTAATGTCCACACTTAAGGGAAAAAAATCTCTCTGCCAGGAATTTTTCTGAAAAAAACATTTTTTAAAAGTTATTCTATTCATAATGACTCTTGTTCCCAGCAATTTGAGACTTACTGATCTATTATTTTTTGTTTTGCCTCATACAAGCATTTTTCTCTAGACTATTGGTCAGATGTGCCCCCAACTAGCAAGATGGATATTTTAATTTTTCTTTTCTTTTATTTATTTATTTTATTTTTAATTTTTAAAAAAATGTTTTAAATAGTTTTTCTTTTAATTTAAAATTTTATTCTGAACTGGCTAGACACTGTTCTCTCATTTGTTTGATATTTATTTCATTTATTTCATTTATTTCATTTTTTTTCTTTTACTAGAATATAAAAGGCATGAGGATAGCAGGCATTTTTATCCTGTTCACTATTATGTTCCTAATACACTGCAGACAACTGGCTGGTACATGGTAAATGCACAATAAATATCTGTTGAAAAATGGAACAGTATAGCCACTTTTACCTTGAAGATACAGAAGTTTAACCAGAAATTAACTTGGCTATTCATTTGTATTTTATCAACACATCCTGTGTGGTTTTAAACAGCCATGCCTGAGTAAATTTTGAGTATTTTTGGACTTCCTTTCAGTTTTTGTTATATTGTGCCTAGGAGAAATATCTAAGGCTAAAAGTATTTTCCATTTCTTTTATACTATTTTCTGGGTAATATCACATTAAAATATGGAGAATGCAGATGGCTATATGGTATTGGATTACAAGAATTGTTTCAAATTCAGGCAGAAATCTAAAGGTAGGAATATTGTCTTCCCTCATTCCAATTCCAGCTTGAAATTGCATTACTCTCTTAAAAAGATTAATATCTTTGAATATTTTAAAGAATTAAAATTAATTATATTCTGGGACTTAAGAAAGATCATAAATTGTCTATGATACATTATTTAGATTTGTGCAAACATGAAAAATGCAGTATTTTTGCAAGCCACAGAGACAGAGAAATACTAATACAATGATGTATAATCCCCTCAATGTTATAGCATAAGTAAAAAGTATAATTTTCAAGTAAAGGTCAAAAATAGCATTTTTACAGAAATTATTCATCTTACAAAATATAAGATTCTTGGATGCAATTATATGGGTAGGATATATATATGAAGATACCTACCATCCTGGGAAAGTAAAAATCTAGTACTAATGGTGGGAGTAGCAGGGATTCTATAGTGTTTTATAGCATAAAAAGCATTTTTATGTATACATATTGTATTTTTTAATCTTCACAAAAGATCCATAAAATTGGCAGAATAAGCCATTGGAAATGAGAGAAGGGCAAAATAAAACTAACCTTCGGTACTTAGGGCTGTTATATTTGGGTCAAAGTTTGTTTCTGTGTTTGCTTGCTTTCAGATCTGTCCCAGATTCTATAGATATGTTTAATAAACAATATATTGATATCTAAATTAAGTCTGTCTATAATGAATTTGTAAAGCAATCCTGTTGAAATAGCCATGATGTAGGCTGGGACAAGGGCCAGGAATCTGAAATTGTTGATCACAACCACAGCTCTACCCTCTGGACTCTTGTTGAACATCTTCATGTGCTATTTGTTTCTAAATATCAGGAAGCAAACACGTCCTTTTTCACTAGTGACCTACTCTGATGTAGTAAAAAATAGGACCATTGGAATCAAATCGACTAAATTGGATCCTAAGCCCCACAGAGTAAATGTGTGGCCTTGGGGGAAATCTTTTTCTTTTTAAATCTCATAATTCTTACTTAAAATAAAGCCAACCTCTCTTATGGTAGTTTATGTGGATGTTAAACTAAATTATTGACTACTTTTTCTTTAGTTTCTAAGCCACCTTATAATAAAGTGAATAAAATGTATAAAATCTGAGTATAGGTACATAAAATATGAAATAAACATCTATTTACATTGTGAGTGAAAGAAGGATAAAGCAAGAAAAATAAATTAGGACTGCAATTAGCAAAATGTGTGTAATGTCATCATGTTTGTGCTCATTATAAATTTGTTTCTAAGCTTCTTTGTTTTGATGAGTAAGTGAAACATTATTAATTATTCAGCTTGCATCATAGTCACACCTATGCTTAAGACAAATGTGATTAATCCTGGTACTAAATCCAGAAAGAAAAATTTCTGATTATAAAGCATATATAGATAACACAATAGTGCTCTTGCAGGAGTGATAACAGATTTTGCAGAATGATTTCTTAATATTACCCCAGATATTGGCCAATGGCCAGTTGAGAATTCCAGAATGGGCTATGGTAATGCACTTTAGGTACTTAACTCTCTCTTTATCTGGATTTATGTAGTATGTATATTTTGACTTATATGTATAAAAATAATTTTTAATTTATAGCTATAATCTTATTGGGAATGAGCTTAAAATTTCTCTTTCTAGCAAAATATGGAACCAGTTAACTGCAGATCTCTATGCCAGGATTGGTATCATAAAACCACAGAAATGTATTTTGAGGATTTTCAGCTAAGTAGAGTCCTTTTTACTTTTGCTAAAGCAGAAGTAAAAGCAAGAAAAAAAAACTTATTTTGGATTTATTCTGTAATACAGACAATTGATTAGTAAATTTCAAAAGTTTTACTCCATACAGGACATTCTATAAGTGTGTACTGTACATAATCAGATGCATTAAGTCCTTAAAAATGAAAGTAAAACCTACACATATTACTCAGATTTGAGAAACAGCACTTTTTATTATAACTCAAAAGTTAAATTGTGAAATGTACAACCAAGGTTTAGTATTAAGTCCTTGCTTTTTTATAAACTAACAAAAACTGAGGAATAATCATCTGAATATCAGATTATTTGACTTGCTCTTTGGCCAGGATGACAAATTGACTAGCATGGCTAGATTGAGACAATTTTCTACGATACCTGCATGCAAAAGGATATCTGTGTTCACCTTGTTTGTGGAGAGTATATATATCCAACTTGTTCAAAAGTGCTCAGATGTGATAGAAAAAACATAAAATTGAAAGAGAATAACTATATATATTGAATACTAGATGCATAATAAACCCTTTAAATCATTGGTAAGTGTACAAGTGGAACTGAAGCATTTACTGGAAAAAGTCATGTTACTCTAATGGTTACTTGCTCGTGCGTTGCCACACTGCGTTATAATTAGCTTCATTACCTTGCTCTTTGATACATAGTGTGCATTTCGTTGTCACTGTAACGATTGTAATGACAAAATTTTCATCTTACTGCACAGTCAAAATGGTATTGATAGGAATGAACTCCAGAGGCCGGGCCTGAGCAGAGAGGTGGTCGCTTGGCCTAGTGCTCAGTTGTCTGACCTGTACCTCTCAACTTTTGCCCTATTAAATATATGCTATGTCACTAAATGCTTTTAAATCTAAAATATATATGTATATATATATTTTATATATCTTGTGTATATATATATCTGTATATATATATATGTATATATATTCCTACTCAATGTTTTTAGTTATTTCTACTCAATGTTTCCTCCTTTGTGAAGGGATCCAATGTTATTCCTACTCAATGTTTCCTCCTTTGTGAAGGGATCATTCCTGCCAACTGTGACCCAAGGGAGTACTGTGGCATGAATTCTATATAAGCACCATTAATCAGAGATCTATGATGCTTAGACTGACACCGATTCCTGTCCAAAAAGTCATCCAGGAGAATACAATATATCATGTATAAAGGTGAAATAGCATGAAATTGCTAGTATTGTGATTGGTACATAATAGAAGTTCAATAAATGTTTTCTTTCTTTCTTTTCTTTCTAACAGTGAGTTATCAAAATAAATAATACATGTAGTACATATGCACATGGCAAGGAATAATCCAAAAATAAAATTAAGAAAAATAATTCCATTTATAATAACATTATATATATTATATCTAGAATTATTCTAGATATAATATTTATATTATTCAATATATCATATTCTATGTAGACAATATAAAATATACATTTCTTTTATATTTTATATATTAACATAAATACATATATAACACTACATTAACTATACATTATGCATATTATTTACATAAATTCATTAATAAATAAGTGAATTTGTTAATAAAATTTAATAAATCATTTTAAGTCATCAAGACCATCACCAAATAATTAACAAAACAAGACAATGACAATACAACCCAACATGTTAAATAACAGTAACATCTCTTTGGATTTGGACTATAAATATTTTTCATTTTCAAATTTTCAATTAATCATAAATTTTAGTGTCACTTCTATAATAAGCATGGATTATCTTGTAATAAAAATAAACAGGAACATTTTTATAAAGTGAATAATCAAATAAGCTCTAATCTTCACTAAAAAAACTCAATATTTCAGGTTTCTCCCTGTATCTACAATATTATTGTCTTATTAGTATGCAGCTGCATTGGGATCCTTATTTTTATGATCACACTGATTTGCCTGAACTTTTGGGGTGAGTATGGAGTTTTTATTTACTTTTGTACTTTTGGAACTTATATTTTAATTTAAAAAAAATTATTTCAGAGAAGAAAGAAAGAGAGCATGTGTGCACAAGTGGGAGGGAGGGTCAGAGGAAGAGAGAGAAAGAGAATCTCAAGCAGACTGCCCACTGGGGGCAGGGAGGGATCCTGATAGGGAGGCTTGATCTCATAATTCTAATATCACAACCTGAGCCAAAAATCAAGAGTTGGACACCTAACCAAGTGAATCACCCAGGTACCCCAATTTTTAATTCTTCTTAATATCAAGATCAACTCCACATTGTAGCCATAAATTGGTAATATTCAAAATTACTTTAAATGTAAGAAAAACTAAGAAAGTCAAATATAAAATTAACATTTATTCAACATCTTTTCTTATGAAGAGCCTCCACTAAAAAGTTGACTCATTTTATTTTATCAAACATTGGTGATGTATCTTGACAAAAAGAGTATGTGTTCATTGGTACTATTTTCAGAGATTATGATTTAAATGTACCAATGTGATGGTTAAAAAAGACAAATGATCCATTTAAAAATCATTTTAAATGTACTTCTGTGACTTTTTTACCCTAAAGTGATATTTAATGAACATAATCTATAGTTGTTCTTTTTGAAACAACTAGACCAATTCGAATTCATGAATTTCTATAAGTTTCTCTTTTTCTCTTGAAGCAGTCATTCTTAAAAATGTAGGGCTAACATGGGTTCTATTTTATATTTAATATTGACATGGAAACATAAACTCTGGTGGCCTTTGAGATGAGATGTTTGAATATGAGTGAGTCTCAAGGCAACTTCACTGAAGAAGACAAAGAAGTAAAGGATCTGTTTTTGTTTTGAGTCATTAAATTTGTTTTTGTATTTTTCCTAATACAACTGGGAAAATATCAGATATTTTAAAGACCAACTAAATATTCTATTTAATGTAATTTTTCTGTACTTTATACAGCATTTTTACTGGGAAGTTGTCAACCAATAATATTCCTCAAATATGTTCAACTTTTACTTGAAATCAAATTCTAATAATATGAAATTCTCTACCTAGTTAACAGTCAACATTAGATGACTGATATTAGTTTTCATGAGTCCATCTAAGTAAGCATTAGTATCTGCTAACCAGCAATTCTAGTTGTACATATTTTAATAATTATTAGAGTTTTTTTAAGCCCTAAAAATTCAGGACATATGGTCTCTTTTAGGCACTAAATATGGTATTTACAGGCTACCATTGACCTGCTGAGACTCACTTCTCTTTTCTGTAATATATAAGTGATAAAATATATAACTGGTGCAATAATCATGCTTTAGAGAAAGATGTTATTGAGAAGAAATCAATGAAATTTGACACACTGATAAAATATTAGTAGGGACAATATTTTTTCCTAGTGATATTATTCTAACAAATTAATATCAATTTCAATATTTGTTTCTATTAAATTTGTGCTTACATTTGACCAGTTTAAAAATATTTTCCAAGTTCAAAACAAAGTATTGACTATAAATATTTACATCTACTCTCTCCCAAGTTTCTGGATTAGACCAGCAAAATGTATCAAACTAGAATAAATTAATAAGAGCACGGGGTATGGAAAGGGTAGAACATTGGAAAGGAAATGAGAAGCAGTGGGGATAGTGTTATTGGATTAATCAATGGAGAGAATCACAGTAAAGAAAGTACAGCAAACAACCCTATGTAGATGAAACTATTTCTTATGGCAAAACCCTGGCAGGACTCTTTTTCAGAAAGGAGAGTACAAAATGTAAAGAGAAGTCTAAAGAAAAGTAATTAGCTGGAACACTTTCTAAGGAATGCTCTTTTAGATTGTTGTCTTGACAACCTTTTACTGCACTCACATAGTAGCATTTGCCACTATATCATACCAAAATCAAAAAACAAAAACAAATGAGATACATAACTAGAACAAACGAGGTCTCCTTACTTGTGGAGTGGTGGCTGGTACAAAAGGCATGTGTCCCCTTATTATGGTTCTGGAGTGGAAAAAGAGAGTAGTGTAGTGGTTTACTGCATAGCTTGACTGTTTCCTGTGTTCTATCTAAAAATTCGTGGTAGCTAATGAAATATCCCAGAGTATAGAGAAAAGTGTCCAGAAAAAAATCAATAAATATCAATAAGTATAAAAAAATCTGAGACAAAGACACAAAATATTGTCCATCCAGACAAGATAATGTCTCTCTAAGAGAATAGGGAGAAAAATAGACATGAAATAATAAAATAAATATGTATATTTATATATTTGTATATTTACATATTTATATATTACAAAAAATTTTTTTCAGGAGAAAAAAAACAAAGCCCCAAACCATGAATTTCCAGCTTATAGGAGCCTACCAAATTCAGAATAAGATATGCAAATAGATATAGATAGATGATAAATGGATGGATAGATAGATATAGGTAGATAGATACAGGTGGATAGATAGATGCTAGATAGATAGATAGATAGATAACAGATAGATAGAAGATAGATAGATAATTGATCTATCCACTTCATATTTCAGGACATCATGGATAAAGACATGATCCTAAAAGTTTACATAAAGAATTAGTTTCTCCCAAAGAGAAACTGGCATCAGATTTTTAAATGTAGATAAAAGGGCACCATTGTAGTAATGCCTTCAAATTATGAATAAATTTGATTTTAACTTAAGTTTAAAACAAGAATAATCAAGCAATATAATTTTTTCATGCATACATTTGGAACAAATAAAGAGGGAGAGGTGTGTATGTGTGTGTGTGTGTGTGTGTGTGTGTGTGCTGATTTTAGAGTGAAACTAGTGCAAGAATGTAATGAAAAGGGCAGCCTGGGTGGCTCAGTGGTTTAAGCGCCTGCCTTCAGCCCAGGGCATGATCCTGGGGTCCTGGGGTTGAGTCCCATGTTGGGCTCCCAGCATGGAGCCTGCTTCTCCCTCTGCCTGTGTCTCTGCCTCTCTCTCTCTCCTCTCTCTGTGTGTGTGTGTGTGTGTCTATCATGAATAAATAAATGAAATCTTAAAAAAAATATAATGAAAAGACATTTCACGTATCAGCTGTTCTGTGTTCCTGGAAAACAATGAATTCAGGCTGTATGAAAACAATCTACAAATAATGCTACAAGATGCTAAAGGAAATTGATATGGTACAAGGAGTTTTGTTTTGTTTTGTTTTGTTTTGGTCTAGACCAAGAAGAAATAACATTAATTTAAAAGTTCAGCAGGAAAAAGAAAATAATGTACAAAAAGTGATGGATATGGAGTTTAAGAATGCACATAATATTTAGAATTGTTATCAGCACCTAAAGAGTAGGAGTAGATATGGTAAAAGAAAAAAAAAGGCTACTTCTCGGGAAAGAGAAGAGTAAAAACAGTAGAAGAAAGGGACTTTGAATTTTAATTGACTGTCCTTGTTTTGTTCTTTTTATTCTCACATACGTAGGTTGCTATTCATTTTCAAATGTTTCTCACTATATTTTTTTCTTTGAACTGAGTAGAGGTAAAATAATGGATTTCTCCCAGAAAGTAATTATCAGCCCTCTAGTAGGTAATTTCCTTTTTGTCTGCTCTATCTATGAATGAAGAGATTTCAACTGGTCACATGAATTTAGGCAGATTATACAGGAATTTTCTAAACTTTCAAGTGGGATATAATACCTACATCATAGAATATTTAGTGTATTAATATTAAATATTAAACCAAGGTTGATGGTTAATTTTAGTGTTGACTTGGCTGGGCCACACACAATACTCAGATATTTGACCAAAACTGGTCTAGATGTTGCTGTGAAATTACTTTTTAATAAGATTGACATTTAAATTAGTAGATTTTGAGTAAAGCAGATTACCTTCTATACTATGCCTGGGTCTCATCCAACTAATCAAAAGCCTTAAGAGAAAAAAAAAATACTAAGGTTCCCCAATGGAAAAGGAAATTGGCCCTCCAGACTGCTTTGTATAGGAGCTTCAGTATCACCTCTTCCCTGGGTCTTCAGCTTGCCAGCCCATAATGCACATAAAATAATAAAGTCTACTTCATAAGATATTATATTTTGAGATTTGGATTATGAAAAATAAAAGTAAAGACTTGTATGATAAATCTCCATGTACCTTTCAAACAGGATCAACATGTCAGTATCTAATCAGTATTAATTATGTCTTCCCCATCATCACTCCCCAAACCAGATTACATTAAAGCAATGATCAGCTTGATATCTGTTAGAATTTAATATTTAAATATATCAGTATGTAATTCTTACAGTTAAGGGCTCCTGTTGCTTTACACAAACACAATACCATTATACATCCTGTGTTACTTTTCTCTGGATATGTAACAAATTACCACATACTTAGCAGTTTAAGACAATAATTATTTATTACCTCACATTTTCCATGGGTTGGGAGTCTGGGCACAATTTAGCTCAATCTTCTATTCAGGGTCTCATAGGATATAGTTTAGGTGTTAACAAGATCACACATCTTTCTCTAGCTGAGGTTCCTCTTGCAAGCTCATGTGGCTTTTAGTACAATTCAGTTACTCCTATTTGTAAGACTGAATTCACTTCTTTCTTGCTGGCTGTCATCCAGGGCAACTGTAGTCTCATATAGAACCCCTTCATTTCTTTGCCATGTGTCACTCTGGTCTCTCAAAACATGAAAACCCAATTCTTAAAATAGAAATTACCTTTCTCTTTAGAAAAGACTCAGTCCTGTTCTTAAGATCTCACATCTGATTAACTCAGGCCCACCTGGGATAATCTCTTCATTTACTCAAAATCAACTGACTGGGAACCTTTCTGTAGTCTTTAAAATCTTCTCATCTTGCCAAACTATGTAACTTAATCATGGGAATGATATTCCATCATATTCACAGTTCTGACTCCAAAAGAAAGGGAATTTCATACAGAGGATAGACTAGGGGGCAGGAGTCTTGAGAGATTTTAGAACTTCCCTAAGAATTTTTTAATTCAATCCACCACAATTCCTAAAACAAAATCATCAATAATGCTTAAGATCGTTTACTATCCAGTCAGCGTTAAAATGTCTTTTTTGTTTCTTTCATTTGATTTGTTAGGATCAGAATCAGAACAAAGACCACAATTGGCATGTGGTTAAAATGTCTCTTGTGTCTCTTTTTTTATTTTATTTTATTTTATTTTATTTTATTTTATTTTATTTTATTTTATTTTATTATTTTCTCTCTTGTGTCTCTTAATCTGTAGATCCTCTTTACCTCCTATTTTTTCTTTGCCATTTATTTGTCAGAAAAAGAAGAATGGATCATGGTTATGTATAATTTCTCATACTCTGGATTTTTCTGCTCATATGTCCATGGTGTCATTTAACATGTTCCTCTATCATATAGTTTTAAAAATTAAATATGTTAGGAAACCCACCTGGCCCACTATAGTGGCTCTATGTGTTTGTTGTTATTATTATGTAAAGCATCTGAGACAGGAATTGGTACAAAGTGTTGCTCAATAACTATTTTATTCCATCCTCATCCCCAGGATATTTCTTCTTATTTTAAAAGATAGCACTTGAACTTGAGTTCACTGTAATAATTCTTTTGGACAATTGGTATCCACATTTTGTATCCTTTTTTTTTACATTTTAATATATTATACTAAACATTTAGAACATTTTTAGTGTGTTTTGCAGCTCTACAACTATACTTTATTGACCACTCTATCAATAGTCACGTAATGCAATTACTTAGTCCAAATGACCTCTTCTTGATAATAATAGTAAATAGTTTCTTTCAAGTCATAAACTGAGAGGAATAGTTGAAGTCATCTTATACTTTTTAATGTACAGCCTATGTACTGGTATAATTGACAATAGATTTGAATTATCCTGAGTCTACAAATATTTTGTAAAGTTTTAATTATTCAGGATTGGCAGTGCTTGCCCTGGTACAAAATATATCAATGAGTTAAGAATATATATGATGTTTTATATATTCAAAATTATTCCTTGATAGTCTTCCTCATCTGTACTGATGTTACTTTTATTTCCCATCTTAGTTACACATATTAATTCAATTTCTTAAAATAAATTTTTATAAAAATTTAAGCTCATATATGACAAACTAAAATATTAGCAATGAAAAATATGACATGCTCTTTAATTCAATCATTCAACAATTAAATACTATAATAAAAGGGCTATATGATAGGAAATTCAAAGATGAATATGACAGTCATCTTGACAACTCTCCAGTCAGGTAGAAGACAAGGAGATGTTCACAAACAACTAGGTTAAGGACTTTGCTTTTGAGATGGAAGTACAATTAAACGGCACAATTTAAGTTTAATTTAGATGAAGAAGGAAGGGAAGTCTAAGGAGGGTCTATTCAAGTTCAAGGAGACACTGAATGAAAAGCACAGGAAAGTGGATCAAAATATCCAGTGCAATAATGTAAGTAATGCTGATGGTTAGCAATCTCATGAAAATGAAGTTCAGGTTGTAAGGACAACCTCAAGAAAAGGAATTAGATGAAATAGTAGAGAGATTAAGCAATAGATTCTCACTTATGTTAGTTATAAATAATCAAAAATATTAAATATTTGTTACTTCTTTTTTTTATACTTCTAATTATAGGGGTCAGAAGTCACATTCTTCTTTCTCCCCAACCCCTGACCCCAAATCCTGCTTCTATTCCAGAAATATACAGATTAATGAATTAATCTCATTCTTCTTCTAATAGAGCTTCCCTTTAATCACATATGGTACTATTCACACTTTTTTTGACTGTAAAGTCTAATTTTCTTTCTATATTTTCCTTTAGGAAATAATTATTTGTGCTCAAAAGACTGGCTGCTGAACCAAGAGAAATGCACGTTTTCAATTTCTTCTAAAACTTGGAATGAGAGTCAACATGATTTTTCTTAGAACCACCAGTAGCTTTATAATTGTGCTTCTGAATTGACTTTCTGACATTGAATTGCAATCCAAATTTGTAACTCTGTGGGAGAGAGGATTGTTTCTGATTCTTTCTTTTGAGGTGAGGTTTTCCTTCTAGTCATTTTGCTCAGTGCAGAGTAGCCAAAAACAAGTTGTACTTGATAGAAGCGCGAACTCTTCTCACTGTAGCATTCCAGCTGTTTTCTCTTTAAATCTCAGACCGAATTTGTAGGTTTTCAGGATGATTTGAAAGTTATCTAGGTAACTTGTTGGGGACAGGTGACTTGGGGACCCTACCCTTCTGCCATTTTGCCCCCTCCTCCGAGAGTCAACATGATTGTGCAAATCTACAAGCACATTTACCAGTGATCCAAACTTTTAAAGAGCTGGTAAGGAATCAAAAACAGGATCTAAGTACCCAAGGAAGAATTACTAGGTGCAATTCGAAGAAGCATGGGTGACTTAGTCATTGTTTTGAACATTCATTAGTCATTATATAATTACCATTTTTTATTTTTTTAAAAAAACTATTCTTTATTAAAGAAATGATTATATACCATTCCATCGATGTCTGGCATAGTGCCATATTCTATGGAGAGCACTGAATTTTTTTTCAATAAATTAATAAATGAATATACCATTTCCTTTTAAGGAGTCCATACAGAGGACTTTAAAACCTGGAAGTCCTGGTTGGATTGGACTATATGTTACATCCCCAGGAAAATGGATGTGGATAAATAAATCCCCTTTTGTGGAAAAAAAATAAGTGATTATTTGAGAGGGAAGAATAGCAGCAGTGATATTGTTTTATTGATAGAAAAGTATTTTTAATAAGCTTCCATGATGTCCAGGCTATTTTTTTAATCTTTCCTCCTCCTTCTTCTCTTCCTTCTCTCCCTCCTTTCCCTTTCTTCTCTTTTTTATAACTTTATCCCTTTCTTTGCTTCCTCTCTCTTTTTTTAACGTGTACTAATAATGAGAAGTAGGATAGAGAGTGCTCACTATGATATCTGGAAATTGTAATAGCTAAGAAATGATAATGACTATAATTTTTAAGCCCATTAGACCTCATTTAAAATAATTTCAGCAACTATCTACTGTATAATAAATGCAAGGTAAAATTCCCCTATAAATAAAAGCATTTGGAATGTATAAAAACATCTCTCAAGCAGAAATCAGAAAGCAGGAGTTTGAAATTTTGCCCCTAGAATATTCTAAACTTGGAGTACCTGGGTGGCTCTGTCAGTTAAGCATCACACCTTTTGTTTTTTTCACACTCTTTTTTTTTAAAGATTTTTTTTTTATTTATTTACTCATGAGAGACAGAGAGAGAGAGAGAGAGAGAGAGAGAGAGAGAGGCAGAGACACAGGCAGCGGGAGAAGCAGGCTCCATGCAGGGAGCCTGACGTGGGACTTGATCCCAGGACTCTAGGATCACACCCTGAGCTGAATGTGGCACTAAACCGCTGAGCCACCTGGGCTGCTCTAAGCATCAGACTCTGCATTTTGCCTCAAGTCATGAGCCTGGAGTCATGAGCTGGAGCTCTGTGTTGGGCTCCCTGCTCAGCAGGGAGTCTGAGAGTCTCTCTTCACTCTCTGCTCCTCTCACTGCTCTCTCTCTCTATAATAAATAAATAAATCTTTTAAAAAGAAGAATATTTTCCTAAACTTATTGATATAAATTTCTTTATCTGTATGAAAAGAATGATGAAGCTTCCCTCACAATGTTCTTGGGTGAACAACATGAGATAATGTATGTAAGAGTGCTTTAAAATTCCTTAGTGTCACATACAATTTATATATTCTCCTCTATGGCCTCGTTTTATTTACACATCACTAGAGCACCTTCACGTATTTTCCTTATCATAGTATTAAAGTCAATGAAGAATATAACTTCATTCTTTAACTTAAACTTCATTCTTTAACTTAAAAAAAAAAAAGTCCCCATGAAGTTACTGCTTTGCAGCTCCCGTGATACCTATTACCACACAGTCTTTACCAAAAACTTACATTTTAGGAGTGCCTGGGTGGCTCAGTCAATTGAGTGTCCAACTCTTGGTTTCAGCTCAGGTCATGATCTAGTGTGGCCCCTACCATCAGGCTCTGCGCTGGATATGGAGCCTGCTTAAGATTGCCTTTCTACCTCTTCCCTGTCCCTTTACTCTCCCTCTCCAAAAAATTCTTAAAAAGAGAGAAAAACTTTTAATATCTAATTACATTTTATAGAAAATTATTTTGCTGTGTGGGGAATGAATAGATGGAAAGTGAAACTGAAATTGAGGTTCAGTCAAAAGACTATGATCAGAGATAAGGGAAAGACAGTAGCAGCCTGGCCCAGGAGTGAATGGATATAGGGACTGGTCTGGAGGTAAAACTTGATGATTACATGCAACTCAAGGGTTGAGAGGGAAGGAAGTGACAGGGATGCTTTTTACTCTTCAGGCTAGAGCTTCTACAGTAATATTCTTCAGATAAGAGAGACATCCCAGGAGAAAAAGTGTGAAGGGAAAGCAAATCAAAAGTGCATGAATACAATCACTGAAAATAAAAGAAGAATCTATTCTAAAACCTCTGCCACATTTTGGCTGCTGAAGAATTATCTATACATGTTTGGCTGAATAAGAGTTTAAGAAACATAACCATTATTTTAAAATAAGCGCTCAAATGTCTATGCTTTATCTCCTAGTTTTCTCATAACTGGACCAACGGATCACAAGCGCTGTGCTCTCATAACAGGAAATCAGGTATATTCTGAAGACTGTAACTCCAAATTTAATGGCATTTGCCAAAGAGATGCTTTCTGAACATCAAAAGCAAATCTACGTTTAAATAAAGATTTGGAATAAATGCATGTGGAAGTTAACAGTGCCTATCCTTTTTTTTGTGTGTGTGTGGAATGCAAGTTTATTTCTTTTCTATGTTATTAAAACAAAATTCAACCGAGTAAATTTAAAGATCTAATTGGCTTTATTCAATGATTCATGAACTGGGAAGCATCCCATCTAACAAGTAAAAAGGAGCTCTAATGAACTACAGAAAAAGGAAGGTTTTAAAGGCAGAGAGGGGTGAAAAAGGTAGTAATAAACAACAATAAGAGATTATTTGGGGCAAGGTCACCTTTCTTTGGGGGCACTGCAGGGGGCTATCAGTGGAATTACCTCACTAGTGTTAACCAGAAAATTCTCAACCGACTAGTTAAGATTATATTCCTGGGGAGATGAAAACTGCAGATTAGATATTAAGTTTTGGTTTGGTAACATGGGCTTACTATTTTGGGCCTGTTGTCTCATTTTTAATATTACAAATATAACATTTTCAAATAGTCCATATAGAAATAATACTTCAAAATGATGAAATATAACTTATTTTTAAACAAGAAAACATGGTTTCCTATTATTTCAAAGTCTAAAAAATAATTAAATTTGATCTTGTAATCCTGTCTGATACCCTATTTGTGTCCTATTTCTTAGGTTCTAACTCCTGAGCATTTGGCGAAGCAATAGATATAACATTTTTTTCTTCAAGGTAGGCTTTTCCCCCAAGGTAATTGTCTTCAATTTTTATCAAAAAGAAATCAGACTTTCAACTGGTATTAAATACTCAGATGTTGTAAGCATGAGATGTCTATTTAAGGTAATATACAATCTTGTTTTTAGTGTGATTCCACAGCTTATTTCCCTTTAATCAAATTTATATATGATTTATATTTAAAATTGTTATATTAAGAATGATCCCATTCCCTTAGTTTTCTAACTGAAATTCTACACAAAGTGAAGTTTCTTATTTTCCTCTCATGTATTTAAAAGACATTTGTGTTTATTTATTTTTATTTTTTTTTAAATTTTTTATTTTATTTTATTTACGATAGTCATACAGAGAGAGAGAGGCAGAGACACAGGCAGAGGGAGAAGCAGGCTCCATGCACCGGGAGCCCGACATGGGATTCGATCCCGGGTCTCCAGGATCGCGCCCTGGGCCAAAGGCAGGCGCCAAACCGCTGCGCCACCCAGGGATCCCAAGACATTTGTGTTTAAAAATAAATGCAGTAGTTCCTGTCCACTATTATATAAGCAAGGTCATTACTTAATTTCTCCAAGTTGACGATAGTAAATTGTAAGCCATCAGGAATTTATACCCTAGTAACTGAAAATCAAAGAAAAAAAGAGGATGTATTACTCTAAATTACTAAAGTTTACAAAATTAATTTGTAACCATGAACCAACTCTACAAATAAAATCTATATTATGAATCAAATAAAACTTGAACTTAGACTAAGCCAGAATTTATTAATCCAACTGTAATACACAATGGAATCCAAAAAATTAATTTTTTCAAGTTTTCTGGGTGATAATATCATACACAGATATAAATGCTCATACTTGATTACATGTTGACACTGGCCAAATCATTTGCATTCCCATACAGTGCCAGGGTAAACATTGACTAGTACGCAGGCAAGAATCTCCTTTTATCAGAAAGTTTCAACTGTATCTAATTAAGGAAGTAAATCTCCGTTAAAGACATGCAGAAAGGGCTTATTTGTATGTTCCTATGTGTTTGTAATGTAGACATTCTCTTTTTCTCCCAGCTTCTCTACCCTACTCTTCCTCTTTTTCCTATACTCACATTCTTTCCTGCATTCATAGATTATGAGTAATTTATAGTTATCTAGTTACCCATAATAATTCATAATTACCTAGGCAAGAATTTAAACTCAAGCTAATGTAACATAGGTGGTTTTGATATAGTTTTTGGAATGTCCTGCAGAATTTTCATTTTATGACGGCACCCAGGGATATGTCATAAGCTCATCCTGTTTTCTTTTCCTTACCTAGGACATTGATTTTTTTCAATAATCTATTGTTTGGCCACTTTTGATATTATTATTCTAGTTTATATTCTATTATCTAAGCTTTGTATTTTTTTGAATTGAAATATAATAGACATACAATATCCCATTAGTTTCAGGTGAAATCATAGTGATTTCAAATTTTTATACATTACAAAACAATCCCCATGAGTCTAGTTACCATCTCTCACCATACAAAGTTATTATAAAACTGACTGGAGAAAAATTAGAGAGGAAGACAAACCACGAGAGACTCCTAACTCTGGGAAAAACACAAAGGGTTGCAGAATGGGAGGTGGTCAGGGGGATAGGGTAACTAGGTGATGGGCATTAAGGAGAGCACACAATGAGATGAGCGCTGGGTTTTATACTATATATTGGCAAATTGAATTTAAATAAAATTAAACAAAAAAAACAAAAAACCCCAAGGTTATTACAATATTATTTTCTGCATTCCCTATTCTGTACACTACATTCCCATAACTTATTATTTTATCACTGGAAGTTTATACCGCTTAAACTCCTTCACCTATCTCACCTGCCCCCTGATATTTCCCTCGTTTGCCAGCCAATACTTTATTTCCTGTATCTATAAGGGTGTTTCTGTTTTGTTTTGTTTACTCATTTTTTTTCTATTTTTTTTGGTTCCATATATAAGTGAAATCATGTGTTGTCTTTCTCTGTCTGATTTTTTCCACTTAGCATAATACCCTTCTGGTTCATCTATATCATCACAAATGGCAAAATTTCATTCCTTTATATGGATGAGTAATACTCCCTTGTGCATATATATATATATATATATATATATATATATATATATATATATATCACAGCCTTACTCATCCATTGAGGGACACAGGTTCTTTCCATATCTTGGCTACCATAAATACTGCAATGAATATAGGGGTATGGATATATCTTTGAATTATGTTTATTTTTTTCAGGTTAAGTACCCCAAAGTAGAATTGCTGAGTCTTGTGGTATTCTATTTTTAATTTTGGGGGAGACCTCCGTACTGTGTCCCATAGTGGCTATACCAAGTTATCTTCTCATCAACAGTATACAAGGATTATTTTTTCTCTGCATCCTAACCAACATTATTCTTGCTTTATTTTTTATCTTTGATAATAGTCAATCTGGCAGAGATGAAATGATCTCACTGTGGTTTCAATTTGCAATTCCCTAATGATATTGAGTATCTTTTCATATACCACTTGGCCATCTATCCTTGGAAAAATGTCCATTCAAGTCCTCTGACCATTTTTTAATGTCTACTAAGTCCTCTGCCATTTTTAATCACTTATTTTTAAAAATTTCAAGTTATCTTTTCATTCTGTTGATGGATTTTTCTTCACTGTGCTACAAGCCCTTTAGTTTGAGTAATCTCAAATGCTTTCTCTTCATCTATTGAGAGGATCATATGGTTCTTATTTTTTCTCTAGCTGATATGATCGATCACATTGATTGCTTTATGAGTGTTGAACCAGCCTTACATCCTGGGGATAAATCCCCCTTGGTCATGGTGAATAATCTTCTTAATGTACTACTGGATCCTATTGGCTAGTATCTTGTTGAGAATTTTTGCATCTGTGTTCATCAGGGATATTGTCTATAATTCTCCTTTTTGGTGGGGTCTTTGTCTGGTTTTGGAATTAAGGTGATGCTGGCCTCATAGAATGAGTTTGGAAGTACTCCATCTCTTTCTATCTTTTGGAACAGCTTTAGTAGAATAGGGATGGTTTCTTCTTTAAATGTTTGATAGAATTCCCCTGAGAAGCCATCTGGCCCTGGACTTTTGTGTCTTGGGACGTTTTTGGTGACTGCTTCAATTTCCTCCCTGGTTATTGGCCTGTTCAGGTTTTCTATTTCTTCCTGTTCCACTTTTGGTAGTTTGTGGTTTTCCAGAAATGCGTCCGTTTCTTCATGATTGCCTAATTTCTTTTCGTATAGCTGCTCATATGTTTTTCAAATCGTTTTTATTTCCTTGGTATTGGTGGTGATCTCTCCTTTCTCATTCATGATTTTATTAATTTGAGTCTTTTTTGTTTTTAATAAAGCTGGCTAATGGTTTATCTATCTTATTCTTTCAAAGAACCAACTCCTGGTTCTGTTGATCTGTTCCACAGTTCATCTGGTCTCTATTTCATTGAGTTCTCCTCCAATCGTTATTAACTCTCTTCTTCTGCTGGGTTAAGGTTTTATTTGCTGTTCTTTCTCCAGCTCCTTTAGGTGCAAGGTTAGCTTTTGTATTTGAGTTATTTCCAGTTTTTTGAGGCATGCTTGTATTGCGATGTATTTCCCCCTCAGGACTGCTTTTGCTGTATCCCAGAGCTTTTGAATGGTTGTATCTTCATTCTCATTAGTTTCCATGAATCTTTTTAATTCCTCTCTAATTTCCTGGTTGACCCTTTAATCTTTTAGCAGGATGGTCCTTAACCTCCACGTGTTTGAATTTCTTCCAAATTTCTTCTTGTGATTTAGTTCTAGTTTCAAAGCATTATGGTCTGAAAATATGCAAAGGACAATTCCAATCTTTCAGTATTGGTTAAGACCTGATTTATGACCCAGTATTTGGTCTGTTCTGGAGAAAGTTCCATATCATTTATTTATTTTAGCTTTTTTTTTGCCCTTGCCTGAGGAGACTGGTCCAAAAATAATATTCTGATGTCAAAGAGCTAACTGACTATATTTTCTTCTAAGAGTTTTATGGCTTCAAGTCTTATAGTTAAGTATTCAATCCATTTTGAATTTATTTTTGTATATGGTATAAGATAGTGGTCCAGATTGATTGACTATATACATGTGGGTTTTATTTCTGGGCTCTCTTCTATTCCTTTGATTGATGTGTCTGTTTTTGTGTGATTACTATAGCTTGGTAGCATGGTTTGAAATCAGAAAGTGTGATGCCTCCAGCTTTGTTCTTTTCATTTTCCTTTTTGAGTTTTTATTTATTTATTCATGAGACACACACACACACACACACACACACAGAGAGAGAGAGAAGAGGTAGAGATATAGGAACAGAGAGAAGCAGGCCTATTGCTGGGAGCCCATTGTGGGACTCCCTAGACTCCAGGATCATGCCCTGAGCTGAAGGCAGACTCTCAACTGCTGAGCCACCCAGGATTCCCTCCAGCTTTGTTCTTCTTTCTCAAGATTGCTTCGGCTATTCAGAATCTTTTATGGCTCCATACAAATTTTAAGATTCTTGGTCCTAATTCTGTGAAAAATGTCATTGATATTTTGATGAAGACTGCATTGAATCTGTAGATTGATGAGTAAGCTTTATAATTTAATGTATAATTCCATCATTGATCAGTGATGATTATTGACAGTTAGGATCTTTATTGGTGGGTTTTTCCCTGTTTTTAGGATATTATTGAAGTATATTCTTTTTCATAGGTAATTCTCTTGTAACATTTCTTTAAGTCAAAGTTATTATTGTTAGTATTTTGTAATATTTACACATAAAAAGCACTTACGTTTCTCTGACTTTTAAGCTAAGTAAACGCTGGCTGGCCTATCAATATAGATATCTTTAAATTTGTGTCTTGAGGAAAGCCACGGTGGCTCAGTGGTTTAGTGCTGCCTTCAGCCCAGGGCATGATCTTGGAGACCTGGAATTGAGTCCCATGTCAGGCTCCCTGCATGGAGCCTGCTTCTCCCTCTTTCTGTCTCTCTGTCTCTCTCTCTCTGTCTCTCATGAATAAATAAATAAAAATCTTTAAAAAAATTTGTGTCTTGAATTGATGAAGTTAATTCATTCAATAGTTTTTAGCTCCTTTGTTTAAAATTTGCAAAATTCTGTAGTAGCATAACAAGTGAGAACTATTGCCTATTGAGACCTTCCCTTCCTTTCTGAAGGGTGATAGTTATTTTCAGTTTTTTACTCTATTAAAATTTAGGTTTGCTGCAAATCCACTTGATATCAATAAATCCCCTAGAACTATGGACTCCATCAGCATTCAGAAAAGCAAAAGATCCAATCCCACTAATTCCGAACCTAAAAAGAAACCACTAAAATTAGTTTGGGAACCATTTAAAACTATAATAAAAAATAAAATTAAGATTTGAGTGATCTGAAACATTCTACACAAAACACTGAGCTCCATACTCACTCATCACCATATGCTACCCAAAAATATTTGGTACATCAAAGGAATAGAATAGCTGAATGTAGATATTTAGTTATTACTATAATTTGTAACTTTATTTCAAACAATAAGTAGCAAGGCAGCTATAGTATAGATGGACATGGATACGCCATGAATATGAATCAGTATCTATCTATATCTATCTACATCTATTTCCATCCATCAGGAGAGACCGTATTTGCTCAATTGAAAGATCTCTGGAGTTTTTTTAAAGCAGTTTCCTAGCATATTTTTAGCTAACGTTCCATTTTGAAAGTAAAGCATAAGATTTATTTTCATTTGATGCTTTTGAAACATATTGAGGTAGAAACCAAAGAGACTAATTGCAATATTGTTTTTATTAATTCTCTCTGTTGAAGATCAAATTTTTCCCTCTTTTTTTTAAGATTTTATTTATTCATGAGAGATACAGAGAGAGGCAGAGACACAGGCAGAGAGAGAAGCAGGCTCCCTGCAGGGAGCCTGTTGCGGGACTCCATCCCAGGACTCCAGGATCACTCCCTGAGCCAAAGGCAGACGTTCAGCCACTGAGCCACCCAGGTGTCCCTCCTTCTTTTGTAGTAAGTGTAATTTGTCTTATTTTACATATTTTAATATTTAATTTGTTCCCACTGTTTAGCACTTAATCAAATTTAAGGCAGGAGTACATGGATACAAAAGAAAAGTCACACAGTCCTTATTTCCAGGTGCAATAGTACTTAAGTGAGAAAACATTCACCAGGTAACAGTTACATAAATAAATAATGTTGTTTATAATGGACACATGTAAAGTTAAAAACAACTATGTGGTCATTTATTCTTTAAAACAAAGGGAATTTGTGTAAATATAATTAATTTTTTTAAAATGTACAAGTAAATACATGTGGTTTGGCTTGGAATTTGAAAAAAAAGTTGAATTTGAATTAGCAAAAGAAGTGTATACTAGAAAAGACTTAAGACTTTGGTAATAAAATAAAATAAGAAACAAAAAGAAAAATTTCACTGTGTGTCACTTGGTAGAAGGAAGACAGGTTGCTCTAAGGTATGTTTCATTGTGTAAGGGCACATGTCACAGGGTGAAGACTAAGAAAAGTAATTGCACAGAGAAAATGGAAATAATTCTTTATAATAACACAACTTAAAATTATTTAAAAACTTTTTTACAACACCAGAATAAAACCTTTCCTAGTACATTTGAAACTCACCAAGGATTGAGTGTGGTGTCATTTGTCCATTTCCAAGACTCTCCTTGTTTTCTGTTCAATCCAATCCAGTGCATAAAAGTTCCTGCATGTCTCCTCAAAAATTCCTTTCACAAAAGTCAGGGCATTATCCATTACTTAATATTTTAGAATACATTGCTGAACATGTTTCTCACCTCAACTTTCCCATCTTTTATGATTCACATCCCAATCTGCATGGCCAACTGCTTTTATAGCAATAGGTAGGGATATTTAGGTCAGTTTAATCAGAAAGATTTTTACTTTGCTCTTTTACTTTTTAAATGTCTGTAAGCCATAGAGTGACTTTCCTCAAGTCACGGCAATTCTCTGAGCTACACTCTCTCAAGTTATTTTTAGGAGTAATTCCTATTTCTCAAATGAGAAACTGATGAGGAAAACATATTTGAATTCATTTTCTTCAAGTTCAAATGCATAGACCATTAGTATGTTTTAGTCACAGTGAATGACAAAGACTATAAACTGATATGTTGTTATGTGTGTTTGGATGACAAAATTGGGAGGTGAGCATTTTATGTAGGAACTGGTACAGAATGTTCTGTAAGAGTAACAGAGAACTAATGCTTCTATTTTGTTTTCTACACAGATCCTTTCTCAAAAATCACAGAGGAGAGATTTCAGGGGGAAAGGGTTTAATAGAAAATATAAGTACTCTTAAAATGGGAAAATTAAATCATAAACTACATTGATCTTTTAACAATACTGCCATGCAGTTGAAAATCCAAGCATAACTCTTGATTCCCCCCAAACTTAACAATTAATAGTTCAATATTGACAGAAAGCCTTACTGCTAATATAAACAACACATACTTTGTATGCTATATATATTATATGCAGCTGAAAACAATCTGCATGTGTGTAGACCTGTACAGTTCAAAACTGTATTGTTCAAGGGTCAACTGTTCTTTGATTAGATACCAAAATAAGAATGTTACTGCTATTGTATGTCTTCTCATATAATCAGAAATCAAACTAACTTCTGGATAATATGATTTATTGCAATAAAACATACTGAGTGATGGACTTAGTTTCTCTTTTCTTAGCTCTTTGTTATGTATAGGTTTGGACCACAAACCTATTAGTTTTCCTTACAAACAAGCCTCTTTCCTCACCCTCACCTGGTGCTCCTGTAGTCCGGGTCCCTCGTCCTTTGCCCTTTTTCACTGCTGTTTATGATCTCATTTTCTTCAAACTGTGCTATTTCCCTCAGACCCTCATCCTAAATTCTGAGAGCCCTGTTTTTCAGTTTTAATTTTTCCAGGCTATTCTTGCAAAATAAAAATGTAAAGGTATTAAAATAATTTAATAATCTTAGAACATCAAATAAAGACATTTAGCTATATAAATAGCATGCACTGTGATTAAGGATATAGCATCACTAGCTAATTTGCCTACATTCAAATCTCAGTTCAGCAAGTACTGACTGTGTGACAATGGCTATGTTACATAATATTTCTGTGCTTCACTGTCTTCCTCTTTAAAATGAAGGTATTTATATATTTACTTCATAGGCACTGGCTGTAGAGTACATGAGTTTTTATAGTTATAGTGCTTAGAACATTGACATATTATAATAGAATATCAGTTTTATCATTTTCATTCTCTCTTTTTACAAAATTAAGTTCTGAAATAATTAAGAACTTTCCTCTTTTCTTACCATATCCTCCTGTGTGTCAATATGAGCAAGTTTTGATCCCTGTGAACTGAAAAATCTTTTACTGGCTGTCCAATTTTTGGTGTCACCAGAAAAATAGAAACACTTCTTTCCTACTCCAATCCATTTGCCTGAGCATTCCATAGTTTGGGTACATTTTGAAAGTTTTGCAAATACTGAAAAAAGAAGAAAATAATCAAATGAAAACAAAAGTTGAAGAGTGTTTCAACTCATTCTGATTAAACAGTTTCTTTTACTCTCATGGTTTGCTGTCTATAAAATTAACTTCACTTATGGGATGATGGATGAATTAAATTCTGCTATCTATAAGGAAACCCACTTAATGGTCAAGCAGTCCATAATTTATCCAATTTCCTTGTCTTCTACTTTTAAGGATGGAACTGCTAGCTATTCTATATTGACATCTTCCCAAAAACAATGTGTAAAATTCAGTAATTGACAGAAAGCCAGAGACATGAATACAACTTAGGCCTCACAGACTAGGGTAGGAAAGGTAGGCTTACATTTACCTTGCAGAAATGAAATGGTCATATACAAGAAAGGACACCCAAGATAGGGAAGTAAAACTCAACATACATGACAACAAATCATTGATATATGACTTAGTAAAACATTTGTTCTACTTCACCAATATTCAGTGCCCAAGAAGCTGGCATTTCTAATAAATGATGAATTTATTTCTCTGTACAGTGTTTTAGTAAGTGCTCAGTAATCAGAATAAGATAAAATGCCTACGCTCCAAATGTTTAAGTAAGATAATGCAACTAGCAAAGAACCAAGTAAACCTTCAAATATCAGGCTAACTCCAAAGCTTTCTCTCTTCATTTTGCTATGATATAAATATATATGTATATTTTTAATGCTTGAAAGCAGATCTAGGCTACCATACATAGGTAATGAAATATACTGTGTTTCAATTTTTTAAATTAATCGATTAAAGAATGAATGTAAAGACTTCTTGTAGAAACACTTCTCTAAATATTTAACTGCCAGTGCAACTGGCTGACTCAGTCAGAAAGAGCTTGTGATTCTTGATTTTGGAGTCATGAGTTCAAGCCCCACATTGGATGTAGAGATTACTAAAATAAAAATAATAATAATATAAATATTTAACTGCCAGATATTTAAATATCAATAACATTGAGTTCCCAGGAGACTGTGATGACAGAAAGAGTATATGCAAGAAAATATCAGTACTCTGAATGACAAAGAAAACAAGAATCAAGAGTGCTAAGTGTTAAAAAAAAAAGAGTGCTAAGTGTTACTTTAATGAAACTGCTAACTTCAGTGCTATATTAAGTGAAGTATGCATATGGAACATCAAATTCTGAGACTATTAAGTCATGCTTCAGGAACTTAAAAAACTACCTTTGAATTATTTTCACAAAATGAACCAGTAATGTCCAGAAGAAAATAGATATTTTCATTTTTACAAATCTATTCCAACAGGGAAAATCTTGCAACAAATCACTTGTGCCATTATTTCATTTTTTTTGCTTTTAATATAGTAAATATTTCACAGAACATCTATTAGTAATATAACATAATCTTGATCCAGAAGAAATAAAAGCAAAGAAATACTGCAGTTATATAGGCAATATTACATGGTGGTTAAAATTTCAGGAATTAGAGTCAGACAGAAAAGAATCTCGAATTTGGCTTTGCAATTTGTTATTTGTGAGAGGCAACATATTCACTCTGGCTTCTATTTCTTTACCTGTAAGCGGATTTCATAATTATACTTGTTTCATGGTCTTGTGCAAATTAAATATATAGTGTATTTAATATTCGTTCTTTAACTCACACAAAGTACTCTTGATTAAAAAACACAGTTATTGCTGTTATCTGGTGGTCATTTGAGAATTTATTATTATTTTACTCAAAGATTAATAACATATAAATTCAAGAAGATAACTATATTGTGAGATTTGAAGTATTTAGTTATTGGGTTTTTGTTGTTGTTGTTGTTGTTAAGAAATCTCTACACCCAATGTGGGGTTAAAATTCATAACCTGGAGATCAAGAGTCACATACTCCACTGACTGGGCCAGCCAGTGTTTCTAGAGTATTTAGATTTTTTCATTTAATTTTTAAGTTGAAACATAGTGATATATTAGGTTCAGGTGTGAAACACAGTGATTTGCCAATTTTCTACAGTACAAAATGCTTGCTATGATAAATGTAATTAGTGTCATCTTAAAAAATTATTATAATATTCTGACTATATTCCCTATGCTGTACTTTTAATCTCTATGATTTATTTATTTTATAACTAGAAATTGTAAATATTAATGCCCTCCATGTATTTTGCTCATCCTCCCCACACCCTCCCTTCTGGCAACTACTAGATTCTTCACTGTACTTTTCAGTCTGTGTCTGGTTTTGTTTGTTTATTTTATTTTTTAGATTCTATATATAAGCGAAATAATATGGTACTTGTGTTTGTCTTATTTCACTTTGCATAATACCCTCTAGGTCCAACCATGTTGTCACAATGGCATGATTTCATTCTTTTAATGGTTGATTAATATTCCATTATGCTTGTATACCACATCTTCTTTATCAATTCACTTACAAGTTATATATCCAATATGGAATTAATATTCAAAATATACAAAAAACTCATAACACCAAAAAAAACCCAAAAAATCCAATTAAAAAATGAACAGAGGACCTGAATAGACATTTTTCCAAAGAAACTATGCAGATGGTTAACAGACACATGAAAATATGCTCAACATCATTAATCATCAGAGAAATGCAAATCAAAACCACACTGAAATATCACCTCATTCCAGTCAGAATGGCTAGTAGTAAGAAGACTTGAGTATTTTTTGAGAGAGGCAAGGAATATGGTAAAATCTGCCAAACTGGTAGAAACCTGAGGACTTGTCTCTATAAGACAAGTGACTCCAGAACTGAGAGATCCTGGATTAAGTTTGAGATATGATTGGCTCTGCTGGGCATAAAGAACCATAGAAAGTATATGAGCTAAGTCACTCACCTACTACTACAGGAATGACCACTGTGAGAAGTATAATACACATACAAAGGCATATCATCCAGCCTTTTTTCAACTTGCAATCTAGAAAATAAATAACTACTGTAAAATTTCCAGAGAAACCCTGCCTGAATATTCATTTTCATTTATTCCCCTTCATTATAATAACATTTAAAACTCTCATTAAAAGCATCTATATCTTAAAGTAATAAAGGATACAATGACCTTGTAAAGTACAAAGAAAGGAAGTACTAATAACTATTATAGCTGTTCAGATGCAGCATCAGAGGTGGAAAGATTACCTAGACTTGGTGGAAGGAGAAAGGAAAGTCAAGGTTATTTCAAAAGGTAGAAATAGTGTGAATGATGAATTGTAGTCAAGAGAGTATAAGGTTCAATAAAAGGGCTATGATCAGGGAGGCAGGGCGATTGGCGGAAGAGTAGAGTCTCCAAGTCACCCGTTCCCACCAACTTACCTAGATAACTTTCAAATCATCCTGAAAACCTACGAATTCGGTCTGAGGTTTAAAGAGAGAACAGCTGGAATGCTACAGAGAGGAGTTTGTGCTTCTATCAAGGTAGGAAGACGGAAAAAACAAAAAAGAAATAAAAAAGCATCCAAGGGGGAGGGGGGAGCCGGGCTAAGGCCGGGGCGAGTGCCCCCAGGACAGGAAAGCCCCGGCCCGGAGAAGCAGGAGCTGCACCAATCTTCCTGGGCAGAAAGGCACTTGCAGGGAGTTGGAGCAGGACCCCAGGAGGGGCGGGGATGCCCTCAGGCTCCCAGGGGCATTAATAGAGGACCTGCGCCCGGGGGAGAGCGCACCACACCCTGCGGCCGAGCTCCCTAAAGGGCTGCAGCGCTAGCACGGCCGGACCGGGAGCAGCTCCGAGACTCAGGCTGCTCCGCGCAGAGGGGGCTGCATGGCCGGAAGCGCGATTCTAGCAGCGCAGGTCCCAGAGCCCAGGGCGCCAGGGGACACAGCCCAGGATCCAGCCCTCCCCCCGGGACAGGCAGAGGCCGGGAGGACACAGACAGCAAAGACGCTCCTGCCGCTGGGCGGCCCGGAGCTGTGCAGATCAGCGTCCCCCTTTTTCCCCCCAGCATCCAGGTCCCTGAGAACTGGGAGCTGCGGTAGTTACTGCGAGAGCTGACTCTAGGGCTGGAGAGCTGGCCGCCACCACTGCTGTTGTTTCTCCTGATGTCACCTTGTAACTGGGACTGAGCAGGGGCCTCATAGGATAAACAAATCCCACTGAGCCGTGCACCTGGCAGGGGCCTGGGCAGCTCCCACAGGTGCACACACCTGAGAATCAGCACAGCAGCCCCTCCCCCAGAAGACCAGGACAGGAGAAAAGCAAGTTATTGATATTGAGCAAGTAGCACTGGAAAGTTCCAGGGGAAGTCGAGGGATTTACAGTATGTAGAATCAGAGGATACTCTCCCTTGTTTTTTGTTTTCTCTTTGTCCCTCCCACCTCCCCCCCCCCCGCCTTTTTTTCCCCTCTTTTTCTCCTTTTTCCCCTTTTTCCAGTACAACTTGTTTTTGGCCACTCTACACTGAGCAAAATGACTAGAGGAAAAACTCACCACAAAAGAAAGAATCAGAAACAGTCCTCTCTCCCACAGTTACAAAATTTGGATTACAATTCAATGTCAGAAAGCCAATTCAGAAGCATAATTATAAAGCTACTGGTCTTTCTAGAAAAAAGCATAAAGGATTCAAGAGACTTCATGACTGCAGAATTTAGATCTAATCAGGCAGAAATTAAAAATCAATTAAATGAGATGCAATTCAAACCAGAGGTCCTAACGACGATGGGTAATGCAGTAGAAGAACCAGTGAGTGACATGGAAGACAAGTTGATGGCAAGGAAAGAAACTGAGGAAAAAAGAGAAAAATAATTAAAAGGTCATGAGGTTAAGGGAAATAAATGACAGCCTCAGAAGGAAAAAAATCTACATTTAATTGGGGTTCCCGAGGGCACCGAAAGGGACAGAGGTCCAAAATGTGTATTTGAACAAAACATAGCTGAGAACTTTCCTAACTTGGAAAGGGAAACAGGCATTCAGGTCCAGGAGATAGAGGGATCAACCCCCCCCCCAAATCAATAAAAACTGCTCAACCCCTCCACTTTTAATAGTGAAACTTGCAAA